AAGAAAAGACTGCTCCCTGGAAATAAACTTAAAACACACAAAATGAACGCATGACCAAAACCACACAAAATAAAAAACCTGTGGAGGACGACCACTTGGACACTAATCCCCCACCACTGCCGCGCCCCCTCCTCTCCCTCGCGCCCCTCCTGCCGGCACCTCCCCCCCCCGCCCCCCTGCGCCCACCCATCCCACATGCCGTAACATCAACCCAATCGTCACCCACACCTCCCCCCCTCCCCCCCTCCACCGCCGGCCCCCCCTCCCCCCCCGCCCTAGCCCCCTCCACCGTCCCCCTGGCCCCGACGCCCCTCCCCCCCCCTGAACACCCCCCCCACCCCGCCGCCCCCGCGCCGCGCCTCACCCCCCCCCCCCCGCCAGCTCCCCTTTCCCTCTGGCTGCGCTGGGCCCGTGCTCCGCGCCCCCCTCCTCGCACCCCCCGCCCCCACACGCGCCCTGCCCCCCCCCTCCCCTCCTCCCCCCCTCCCCCCCTTCGGCCGTCCCCCCCCCCTCCCCTTGGGCTCCCGTCCTCCCTCACCCTTTCCCTCTCGCCCCCTCTCCCCCTACCCCCTCGCCCCCCCCCCCCGGCCCCACACCACGAAAATTGAATTGACCTAATGTGAACACATAGCTAACTTGCCCAAGCAACTGAAAGAGCCGCAATACCAAGCTCCTGATCAAATGCACCCATCCGACCCAACGAGATGAAGACGACACAAATAAATTCAAAAGGGTAAAACATGGAAAACGAAAAAAAAACTGACATACCTCATGGTTATTACTGTCCTGACGCCATGGATGACCATGCAAGCGCCAACTTAACATAAAAGATAAAACAAAAAAAAAATACCACAACCTACTTCGCGTATGCAAAAATCGGAACTAAAAAAATGTGAGAAAGAAATAAACTAAACAGAAAGATAAAATGAAAATGAAACTTTTGAAACAAACATAAGAAAATTAGGAAACGAAAAAAAAATGGGAGAACGGTATAAAAAGATAGACAGAATATAAAAGACAATGAAAAAAAAAAAATGTGAAATATAAATGAGGGATCGAAATGTCACGAAAAAGAGATTGCGGGATGGGCACGGGGGGTGAGGGGAATACAAAATTAAAAGGAGGTAGACCAAAAAATAAAAATACTATATGGCTCAAATAAAACAACAATAAAACTGAACGAATATACGAAAATCATAAGTGAAAAAAATGGAAAGTAAAAGAATAAAGAAAAAATAAAAAAGAAAACTTCAAGAATAAAGAAAAAAGAATCAGAAAAGAGAGGAAATAAATAAAAAAACTATTAATCCTCGAAATAGATGAAAATAATATTGAAAAAAAAATAGAGGAAAAAGAATCATTGACCAAAGTGATGGAAAGTGAAACGCCCATGGAAGGAAAAAAAAACACCAACCACAAAAAACAAAAAAAACACTTTGGTTTAGTAAACCCCTTTTCCCCACCCTTTTCCCCTCCCCCCCCCCCTTGCCTCCCCCCCCAACCCCCCCCTCTTTTCCCTTTCCCCATTCCCTCCCCCCCTCCCCCCTCCCGCCCTTGCTCCTCCCCCCCCCCCGTTCCCTTTTTTCCCCCCATTTTTCCCCCTTTTCTCCTCCTCCGACCCTTTCCAATCTCTTTACCCCTTCACATTGTTTCCCCCCCCTCCAACCCCCCACTTCCCCCCCACCCCACCACACCCATTTTTCAACCACGATCCCCCCTTCCCCCCCCCCCCCACTTTTCCCCCACCCCATCCCCTTTTTCCCTCCCCCCACCCCCCCCCTTTTTGTTCCAGCCCCTTTGTCCCCCCCACCTTCCACGCGCCCACCCCTTGCCCCCCCCCCCCCCCTTTCCCACCCCCCCCCCCCTCCACCCCTTCCCCTTTTTTCCCCCCCCCCTCCCCTGTTCCCCTTTTCCCCCGCCCCCCTTTTTACCAACGCCTTTCCCCCGGTTTCCCCTCCCTGTGTTGTTACCCACCCCTTTGAACCCCCACCCCCCCCCTGTCCACTTTGGCCCCAACCCCCCCCCCCCCTAACGGTTCCCCCCCCCCACCCCCACCACCCACCACGCTTTCCCCACTTGTGCCCCCCCCCCCCCCCCCCCCGACCCCCCCGTTGAGCCCCCCCTTTTCGCTCACTTTTCACCCCTTTTCACACCCATCACCCTGTGGGGTCCTTTGCCCCTCTTGTCCCCCCCCCCCCCTTCCTGCCCCCCCCCCCTCCCCCCCCACCCCCCCCCCTGTCACCTTTTTTTTTTCCCCCCTTCCCTCCCCGCTTTTTCTTATCCCCCACCCGCCCCCCCCCCGTTTTGTCCTTTTCCCTCCCACCTTTTTTGCCCTCCTCCCCCCCTATTCGTCCCCCCCCTTTCCCCCCTTACTTTTTCTTTTCCCCTTCTCCCCGCCCCTTCCTTCCCCCCCTTTTTTTACCCCCCCCTTCCCTCCGGGCAAAAAAAAAAGGCACTACCAATTGGCTAGTCATACGGCGCAAATAGCAAATGCTTCTCGATTCGTTTTTGAGGGCACAAAAAAACATTTGTGTGTGTCTGTAGTTGATGCGTAAGAATATGAAGATTGCGTGTGGCTTATATTGCATACATTCACACTCTTTGAGAGTTAGGTTTGTTTTGAGGCCCCATTGTTTTGCAATGCTTGCGTGTCGGGGTGTTTGTGTTCCGAAGGAGGCGTGATGAAACGCCTCAGACGGTTGTTGACAGGTGGTCGGAGTGCACTTGGGTGGCTGCTGTCCCCTCGACCACATGTCAGGGGTCCACTGTTGTGACTGACAGTACCTGTTTGTTAGCCCCACACCTATGTATGCCAACAGTGTCTTCTCTCATAGACTCCCAACCATGACCTCGACAGTTTGGCCTACAGCCTTCTCATATCACTAAATATGGGAGTTCTAGAGATAGACATGATATATCTAGCATCATAAATGTATGCGACTCACTGCGATGGGGAGTTTTATCCATCTTCTCCTCCTCTAGTTGTGCAACTCTTTCGTTGTTTCGCTCTTAGACACCCACTGTATAATCACACCCGTTGCTATTTGTATATACACTCCCCAAATAAAACTTCCTCTGTGATTTAATCCCCCCCCGCCCCTGTCTTCCCTGTAAGGCAAGCCTGTGTACCAGCTCCAGGGGAGGTAGACACGATTCTGAACAACTTCGCTCGAAGCCACGTCCAAAGGTTCGTGTCCCCCCCCCTCTCTCTCAGACAGCTCACCTGACATCTTAACTCCTAAAACACCTTTTTTCCTTTTGATGAACTTGTGATCTTTTTACTCCCCTAAAATCCACCAGAGCCCCCTCAAAAATGTGTCTGACCACTGAGCTGTCTGTACATTGTTTGTGACATAAGTGTTTGTTGTATGTTACTACAGGAAAGTGACTGAGGAGGTCGTCATTGAGTCGACTGGAAAAGGTGGGAAAATTGAAATAGCATCTCTCTCTGCCCTGTGTTTAATGCGGATTTTAAGAATTGTGTGCATATGGGTATAGCCGTGAACTTTCTCTAACAAACCATCATTTGTGGGCTAATGGATAATAATGCCTAATGAACTACTTAACAGCTGTTTGTGTCCCAATTTCTATCCCCTGAGTGTATTATGTGAAATTGCACAACTCGAACACGTGTTATGGGTTACGAAATGGGCTTCGTTTGCTTGTCTTGTCTACAGAACTGGTCTCTAGTGGCACTGGTGCTGCCAAAGAGGAGCGAGCAAAGCCGCCATCCATCCCTCTACCCTCCACCATGCTCACCCCTCTCTCCTCCCTCCCCTCCCCCACCGTCGACATCTCCTCGCTCAAAAACTCCTCCCACACTCCACCAAGCTCTGCCATGGCCACACCCACTCCCACAGGCGACAGCTCGTCCTCCTCTTCCTCTCGGTTCCTGAAGCAGCAGAGAGACGGAGTCGGGTCTACAAGTGGAGGAACCAGTGGAGCTACAGCATCGGTGTCAGCTCTAACAGATCGGAAGAGTTCAGTGGCCACTCAGTCATCTAGTCGCTCTTCCCCTCCCGTGACACCTGGAGCTGCCCAAAGACCACACCCCATGGCCACGCCCCATCAGCCCCGCATTCTGGAGAGCAAGAAAAGTGGAATTCCTCCCAGTGCCAGTGGGAAACTGCCACCAAGTACTTTTGCTGAACCCCGTGTCCCTCCTCTACCTCCTCTTCCATCCACTAGCTACATTTCCGGGCTCCATTCGCTCCCTTCTCCGTCGCTTGTCGCAAGCTCTGCTATTAGACTGCCGCTGCCCCAACAGCATCATCTTCCTCCCACCTCTCCTTCCGTCTCCTCCATCCCGCATCCCAGCCCCCTCTCCCCCGTCGGAATCGTCCTCACCCCCTCGTCAGCCGGGGGAACGAGATCCCCCGGAGGAGGAGTCCTCGTTCAGTCCCAAATCAGGGGAACCACGTCTCACTCGACAGTATTGGCCCACCCGATAAAATATCCGATTTCTCCCACCCCGCAGGTGAGCCCCGATCACCAGCAGCAGGGCGTGGCATCTCTCCGCAGCCTGCGCAAGGAGAGGGAGAGGGAGAGGGAAGGGAACGGGAAGAAACGGGGAGGGGAGGCGGAGGTGGTCCCTGGGGAAGAAGGTACAGGGGGAGAGGTGACAGGAGGAGGGGGAGGCAGTGCCAGGACAGATAGCATGGGACCCCCTGTGAAAAGGGTGAGAGTCACACGACGAACTGCGGCCGAAGAAGAATTGGCAAAGCAGTGAGAAACCCACACAAACCAACACATGCACATACTGTACTGTCAAGCTTAGACAATGCAGTAACCTGACCTCTATATAGCTGTAGTCAGTAGCGTTGGTTCTGAAACTTTGCATCAATTCACCATGTGTCGTGTGCATTGTATTACGTGGCATATTTTCTACCCACAAAAGCAAAATGGTGCTTTGCTGGCGCATGTGTACCGTTCCAGGTGGCCTGTTTTGAAAGCTATTACTCCACACGTTTACGCAAACAGCGCTGCCCTCTCTGTTGCCCTCCACGACACAGCTGTAAAACAGGCAATATTTGGGCGAAAGAATCCCAACACACGGTAATCTTGTTAAAACATTGGGTCGCGGAATGTGGCAAGACTGTGTTTGGAGCGAGGCTCGAGATGTGCCTGCCAAAACCTCTATGTGGAGTCCTGGTGTGTGCTCAATCATTGGCACGAGGCTCTCCAATCGTCCACACAACCTTTTCTCCTTCACCACTTCCAGAATTTGAGCCTCCCTCTGCCTCTTCTTTGCTGGTGTCCGACTTTTCTTCCACCTCTTCTTCTCCCTCCCGTACCGCCCCTTCTGAACTGTAAGACTGTGGTTTTTCCACGGACCATTCCATTTCAGATGGAGTTCCCCGCCATTTGGTGTCGTACACAGGTGGCTCGGCAGGAGAGCCTGCCATTTCTTGTTTATCTGTAGGGGATCGTGGAAGGTTTGTTGGAACAGGTCCACTGCTCGAAGTGGGGCAAGAATTCAATTCACTGCCAGTTGTTCCAAACGTGTCGTTCCTTGAAGCAGGGGAATTGGCTGCAGTGTGCCTTGTCCCACCTGGAGCTGCAGATGCATCCATACCCTGGGTCCTGGTTTCTTCCTCCCTCTCCTTAACAGCCTCACTCCCCATTTCACTAGTTGGGCTGGTACTGCCGTCATCCCTCTCGTGGTCACGGATTGAGCCTGATTCTCCTTCCTCAGCAACACTGAACAATTCCCTTCCTTCACCACCTCCTCCCGTCTGTCTGTTTGTTGTGTTGCCTTGAGAACAACCTCGCCTGTCGTGTGGCAGCAGCTGAAGAATGCGTGACTTACTATGCAGAGGGTTGCTGTTCTTCTGTGTGGTTAGGAGCTGATGTTGTTGTTGCAGTGAGAGTGAGAGTGCAGCAACGCTGGCACTGTTGTCTTTGTCTTGGTTTCCATTTTCAGAGAGTTCGGCTCCCCTCCCTTCTCCCTCGCCCCTGTCGTCATCATCTTCAACGAGGTACGAGGCCTGAGAAAACGGAGTCCCGGCGGCTGGTGTCTGGGTCTGGCCGGGAACTCTTCCCCTGACCGGAAGATAAGGTGTGAGGTGACATGGTGGGCTCTCATTGGAATTGCATTGTTGGGAGAAGGATTGGGTGGGGTGGTGAGGAGGAGAGAGTGTGGTGAGCCTAGAATCAATATCAGCCAGTAGACAGACTCTGATCTCTTGGCACTGCCCTGCCAGAGAGTCTTGCAGCAACCGCACCTGGTGTTGGCAAGAAATGACTCGTGACTCTCTGTAATACTCCCTCACACGTACATATAAGTTGGCAGTGGGCATGGGAGAGGGTAGTGGGAATCATAGAGAGAACTTAAGGCAACAAGACACACCTGTTCTCTGTCAGCCTCGGCTGTCTGCTCCGTGGCCTCCATAGAGGTCTTCACTGACTGGCTGTGCCTGTGGAGTTCTCTGAACAGCCTCTGCTGCTCTGCACGCATCTTTTCCACCTCTTCACTCCTGAGGTACATGTGTATGTGTGTATACATTGTATGTGTGTGCGTGCGTAGTATGTATGTGTGTGCGCATGAGTGTGAAAGAACATGTGTGTAAGAGTGTATGTGTGTGTGTGTGTGTGTGTGTGTGTAGGTGTGCGTGGTGTAAGGGTTCAGGGTATCTTAATGTGAACTTTTAAACCTGCTGACCTAGTTCTGATCTCAGCCTCTAGTACTGAAAGTAGCTCTTGTCTGGAGACTTTAGCCTCGTCTTCCACCACGGACACTGCCCCCTGCAGCACCTTCCTCCCCTCTTCCCCTCGCTGCTGCCGAGTCAGACAACAGCTGCATTTCATTACTGCACTGCTATGGAGTTGGTGACCTGTAGTGTGGCCTTGAGCTCCTTTGTCAGCTCCGATCTGATCTTGCCGCAATCCGCCACAACTGCTGAATGTAGGTCTTTTAGTCGAGCCTCGCATTCTCTCTTCTCAACTTCTGTTACCTGATATAATATTACATAACTTATATTACAGCATAATAGATGGGTGGTGTCACCTAATAAATTTTCAATTGAACTATTGTGTCTGAACTGCAAGGGTAAGTGGCAATAGGTTCGTTCTTACAACATTTATGCATATGTATGAATGAGTTCGTGTTGGGTGAACTCAGAATCTACGCCTGACCTCTTCAGTAGCAGCAATTCGTGTCTCCAGCTCCCTTCTGAGATTGTCCCTCTCCCTACAGCACTCCTGCCTGCTGTACCTCATGGCCTCCAGCACCTGGTCTTGTAGCTCGGAGATCTGAGTCCCAGTCTCCACGGAATTCTCCCGCAAGTGGCCCAGGAACAGCTCTTGCAGGTGGGCTGCAGTTCTTCCCAGCTCTGACTGAACCCCAAGGAAACTGCAGCAGAGGTCTGGTGACCGTTGGTGCCATGTGGAAATGTTTTTGGCTGCCTCACCTTTCCCTCAATTGAGTGTCCTGCTTTTCGCTGTCTCTGCCCACATTTGCCAGTCTACCTTCGACTTCACTCAGACCTGTTCTCACTTCTGTCAACCTGCATGGAGCACTCTGGTTTTCTCCACCACCCATGTTGTGCTCTTGGCTTGGCTTACCTCGTGTTCAGCTGTTTCTTTAGCTCTGCATTTTCCCGGTTCAGTCCCATGACAGCCCCACTAACACCCTGCAAACTCCGCTCCTGTATGTACAATAGGCAGTAGGCAATACATTCGAGTACAGGACATAAAGCGCTTGCTAACCAGGGCACTGTGTCTGTGTTCAAGTGCATTCATCTTTTCTCCAACACTGCCACTCATCGTCTCAACGCGTCTCCTCGTTTCTTCCCCGACTCGCCTCAGCTGGGCTGCAAGTCCTTCCTGGGAACCCTGACTGAAGTTGGCCAGCTGGAGTTGCCTCTGCTCCAACTGGTGAGCTCTCTCCCTCAGTTCCTCCAAACTCGCTCCCTGCTCCTCTCTCTTTGCCGCGACCTCCCGCTGGGTCTCCAAAACTTTTCTCTCAGTATCCTGTGTCAACTGAACTAGAGTTGTCGAGTGCACTTCTTCTCTTAGGATTCTCTGTTCGTTCTGCAACACTCTCTCTTTCAGCCTCGTCAGGTGAGGCGCCATTTCAGACAATAGTCTCTCCAGCTCTACTTGTCTTCCCCCTCTCCCTCTTTCTCTGCCACTATCCTCAGGAATTGGATTTCTGTCCAGACTTCTCAATAGGTTTGCCTGTTCTAGACCTGCCATGCGAGACTCCAAGTCTTCAAGCCTTTTAATTGCTCCTGAAACCTTTCCCTGTTTCTCTAGTTCCGTGAAAGAGTGGTGAATATCAGAAGAAGGGAAGGAAGGGGCTGTTTTGTCAGGCAGATGGCTTGGTTGGCATGGTGATGTGTGAGGTTGGAGGTGGGGTCTATTTGGAGTTGTTTCTTCATGTTGCCACGGTGCAACCAGCTGTGGTAGAGTGGGGACTTGGCTGGGCTTGACTCTGGGTGCAGACAGAATCAAACAGCAATGCATGGATTTAACACTGGTGTGTTGCTGCTATATTTGACTGCCATAATAGTACCCATCCTACCCTACTTCATGCATTAGCTGTACAAGAGACAAATTGCGCTGGGTAACTACCTTGCTGGTGACCGAGGATTGTGCATCGTCGTCAGGGTGGCTTCTTTCTGTTTACTCTGTGCGTAGGCTGCAAAAAGGAGGTGGAGCTCGCTTTTACGCGCGCGCCGCGCTCACACGCTTCGCGCGCCCCGCACGCACGTGCCGACCGCGCGCGACCGTACGCACGCGCACACCGCGCGACCAATAATTGCGGGGGGCGGCAGAGGCGTAGAAAAACGACGTCTTCTCCCGTAAAACTGTGAGTTACCAACCGCGTTGTGCGCTCTGTTCAGGCCGTTACACCCGTTATGTACGTTCAACTAGGTTTGAGGTGCAGTTAGATCCCCGCGTCTTGGCAGATCAGAGTCATGGGAGACAGAGTGATCGTGCTCGTAAAGGAGGATCGGACACCGAACCACTGCCTCCACTGCATCATTACTCTGTTCTGCCCCTGGTGGATCATCATATGGCTGTGCGCCTGCTGTATGTACGGATGCTGATGGAGCGATTATAACTACTCATTGAGACCCTTCGTATATCTTTGTTCCGGTTTTAATTTTGTTAATAACCTTTGTGAAAATCGTCCTTTTTCAAGTATGGTTAGCTACACAAGCCCATACTTGGGCTCACACCCAAGGAGTGCCATTATGTAATGTTAGGCAAGAGAAGCTATTGTATATACTCGTAGCGGCCTTTGGTGCAGCTCCTTACATCTGGCAACCACACATGTAACAATAGACCATACTTAGCTAGTGGGGGGCTCACTCCAACCTCTCACATTACAGAGTACTTATCTTGGGATATATAAAGTCAGTATACAGAAAGGGTTGGGAAAATAAAAGAGCATGGATTGCTATATTGCTTGCTGGAATAAAATGCCCATTGCATCATGCCCATTCTAAGAGGCCTGTACTCAGTATTATACACATGCGCTAATGCTAGACTTTAGTGTCTGCAAATGTTGTCTGTGATGCTCTGAATGTCCCAAAGTCTTCTTTGGCTAGTGTAGTGTAGTGCGGACCATGTCTGGGAATGGAGCCACTTTCGTAGCCAGCTATATGCTGCAGGGGAGAAAGAACAGAGAAGTTGACTGGACTATGTTTGTTAGAGCTAGTGGAGCTCACTGTGTCAGGTAGTACTTCTTCCTCGAGTAGCCTTGCTTTCTCTTCCCGACGTGGAGAGTACGACTTTTGCTTACGTGGACTAACCAATAGATTGTCTTCGTCTCCCACGTCGGGCAAGTCCTCCTGTGGCGACAATTATTGTTTATTTATGTACAAGGAAGAGCTTACTACAACATTACAGAGAAAGTGTAAGAGTGATAAATATACTTTACCCATATTGGATCTCCTGGAGACCAGCTGCCGGCCATTGTCCCTCGACTCTGCCGTGTGAGATTCAGAGAATGATCGTGTTTGGTGGGGGAGGACGACTCCACCAGCCTTTGCATGGGAATACCACCCACTGGGCTGTGCTTGGTCGGTGTGACATCAAGATGGGTAGAGAGCGAGTGTGGAGACGCAGGGAATCCTGGGTCTCCACGGGGCCTTACGAAACACAGAAAAATAGCACCGGCGATAAACACCGGGCAAACTGCCAGTATCACCATCCCAGTTATGAAAGCTGCCTCTCTATAGTATGGAGTCTCACTCTCCGAAGAATCACTCTCCGAAAATCATCAGTGGCAACGGTTGGAGTATCAGGAGAACTTGTGCCCAGCTCTGTCCAAATGGTTGTGTTTGCTTATTAGATGTGTTTACACATTACTTGGCACACTCACCTTGTAGCCGAAGAGTAACTGCATCAGTGGAAGCCTCTCCCACTGTAGTCTGGATCGTTACCACATACCGCAGGTCTGCGGAAGAAAGATTTCCTTTAGAGTGTCTTCTTTAGGGAAAGGTATACTTTACCTGTGGGCTCTAGGTTCATTTGATAGCACAACTGATGTCGTTGGTCTCGATAGGAGAGCAATTCCATTCCGGGTAAGAATGTAGCGCTGTACAGGACCGTTGGGACGGAATGTAGACCCCCAGTTGAGCCTAATGATTCCAGTTGTCTGGTTCGCAGTGAACTCCAAACTTTCACTCACTTCCGGTACTGTTACAAAGCACATAGTCATAAGTAATTTACACGGTATTCTTCATCAAAAATTATTCTCTTTTACCGCTTGTTTCTGTTTCAACGGATGAAGAGAACGAAGAGTTGACGGCTCCGACGCTATTCTGTGCCTCGACCACGAACTGGTACCGAGAGTATGGGAATGGGTCTGTGACTGTGGACCCGGTGACCGTGAACTGAGTCTGGTCCGTTGAGGTCACAAGCACCAGAGGACCCTCTGTACATGTAGCAGTGGACTGGGCAAGCTCTGGTTGCTCTGGCTGGGGACAAGCCCGTAAATACCATAGTTTGTAGCTGTGGATGAATGGAATAGCATATTTACTACACACATAGTTGTGTTTGGGGCTTTATCTATGCATTGTTACTACCAATAGCAAAACAATGCATTAGAACACGTTACATGTGTAGCCTCACCTGGTGATGATTCCGTTCGGCCGACTAGGTGGGGACCATGTGACAAGAATAGAGCGAGCAGAGAGTGTCACACCCACTGGTACAACATCAAACTCTTGTGGAACATCCTCTAGAGTCCTGATTGTCACTTGGTCGCTGGAGCCACATCCCCCCACCGTGCACACCTCTACTCTGTATGTGTAGATAGTGAACGGGAGTAGTCCACCGACTCTAAACACAACCACGGAGTCTTGCCCACTAGGAACCTGCTCTGGCAGATTTGTCCCGTTCTGGTAGAGTAGATAAGAGGTAAGTTCTCCGTTGGGTGTGGCAGGTGGGGAGGCAGTGGCTGTTAGAGAGGTGGAGGCGATGTCACTTATTACAGGGGCTTGGACTCCTTCGGGTTGTGCATCGGGCAGGGTTACTGTGCTAGAGTCGCTGGTGACACTGCCCACACTATTTGCAGAGGTCACTTGGTATTGATAGACCATTGCTGGGCGAAGATCTACTCCACTGTTCCGAAACTGGGGATCTGGGCCAGAGAATACCAGAATATAGTCTCCATCTGGTACCAGTCTTCGTCTCAGTTCATAGAGAATGATGATACCATTTGGTTCTGCAGGTGGGTCCCAAACAGCCCAGGACTGTAGTGTTCTGGAATGGAGCCGATAGTCTGGGTGGGGTTTGGCCTGTAGGTGTGGCTTCTCCTGTGCGCTCTGTGACAGAGGAACTGTTGCCACAAGTAGTTGTGCATGCGTCTACTCTGAACTGGTAGACTGTGAATGGAGCCAACCCTTCCACCCTGAACTCAAGCACCGATGGGCTTTCAAACACAACAGTTCCGTTCACGGTGAGGATATAGTTCCGTATCTCGCCATTTCGTCGACCAGGGACCTCCCACTCTGCCATAATACTGTCTGATCCAAGAACAGTGAGGGTTGGGGCAGAGATATCTTCTGGGGTGTCGGGTGGTGTCTGGATGAAACTCGACGGGCTTTGCTGACTCCCTCCAACAGAAGTGAAGGCCTGGACGGTGTAGAAATAGCCTTGGTTGGGTAGAAGATTGGTGTCATTGTATGCTTGAGTGTTACCCTCTATTATAGTCAGCCCGTCTCTTCTAAGAATGTAGGAGGTAATCACACCATTTGGTCGTGCAGGTTGCTCCCACTGCACGTAGACTGTGGTTGGGTTCAAGGCAACAAGGAATGGTGCAGCAATAAACTGAGGGACATCCTCAAGGGTTCTGACTACAGTGGTTCCTTCGGCACAACCAATACTGTTGCATGCGCCAACAGTGGCTGTGTAGTCGGTATATGGCTGTAAGTTAGTAACGTCTGTGCTGAGATCCAATCTGACTATAGGAATTGAGCTCAACCCGTCAGAAACGACTACACTGTAGTTCCGTATGATACCATTAGGGAGCAGAGGTACGGACCATGAAACTCGGATGGAGGTAGAGGTGAGTGGAGAAGCTTGAACTGAACTGTCATCAAACCCTTGTGGAAGAGCCTCGAGAGTGGTATCCGTGGCACTGGGACTGAGGTCACACCCACCACTAGTGCAAGCCTGGATGATGTATGAGTATTGTGTGAACGGAGTAAGGTTACTGTCTGTGAACTGACGGTTCAGACCAACATAAACTGACACATTCTGCATCCCTCCACCATCTCTGAACACTTGATACTGGGATATGACCCCATTTGGTTGTGAAGGTGTGCTCCAGCTAACTTCAATTGACGAACTACTAATGACTGTGAGTACAGGTGCTGTGATCCCTTCTGGGGCAGCTTCCGGAGTGGTGATTGTCTTATACTCACTGGCCACCCTTCCAGCTGAGTTGTGTGCAGCTATTGAGTACCCATAGGTGGTCGCAGGCAGGACAAATACGTCCTCAAACTCACGTGTCACAGTGTCACTTGTGCTCAAGATAACAGTGGGAGTTGATTCATCCTGCTGGCGGAGGATTTCGTACAGGAGTATGATCCCATTTACTTGGCTGGGAAGCTCCCATGTGATTTGTACTCTTCGCGGGCCCAGTGCTGTCACAGTTGGGGTTGCCTGCCCAACAGGTGGTGCCTCTTCGGTCCCAGCCAACTGAACGATCCCATATGCACATCCAGCCGACGTACAGGCTCCAAGTTGAAGCGAATAGGTTGTAAATGGTTGGAGTCTTGTGACTTGGTATGTGGTCAGCTGGGTTTGGTGCTCTATTTCCCCGTCAAGAAGCAAGATGTATTCACGTATCTGTCCATTGGGACGATCGGGAAGGCCCCAGGAGAGAGAGAGGGACGATGACGTTCTGGATTCCACCACAATGTCAGTGATTCCTTCGGGAATATCTTCAGCAGTTGTAACAACCTCCCATTGACTGAAACCTTCCCCAGCTCCATTGATGGCAACCACACGAAACTCATAGGTTGTCACTGGAAGTAGACCGAGAGCTGTAGCAGTTGTCACACTGGCGGGAGTTTCTGCAGCAGTGACAACTTCTCCTGGGAGATTGGTCATGGGATCTAGCAATAGCCTATACTCTAATCTGTATCCAGTAATAACGCCATTTGGATGAGTTGGAACTGACCAGGTTGCACTGAGATTGCGAGCCATAATGTTACTACTCAGAATGTTCGGTGGGAATACACCTTCTGGAATATCCTCTTCCGTTCTGGCATCTGCGAATTCGCTTAGAGTGCTACCAGCTTTATTAAATACTTCCAGGCGATACTCATATCTGGTGTACGGGTCGAGTCCAGAGTTTTGAAATACCATCACTGATGTATCTTGAGTGACAAAGTGAATGAATTCGGTTGGCACATTGCCATAGAGTCTCCTGCGAACTCTGTACGCAGAGATGATACCATTAGGCAGTGATGGTTGTTGCCACTCGACCCTGATAGCAGACGAGCCAAGCACAACCAGCGTTGGAGGGGCTACTCCTTCTGGCTCTGAGGGCTCTGTTCTGCCGGCCACCGAAACACTTCCAGCTGACCCTGCCTGGTTACGAACCTCGTAGAAGAATGTATAGGTTGTGAATGGGGTAAGGTCTTCTCGAGAATACTCAAAACCGATCCCTGAAAACACGGCAATGTTGTCCATGTACAAAATGTAGAGCGAGATGTTCCCATTTGGGAACTCAGGCGGGGCCCAGGTCACGCGTATTGATGTGGGACCTAGCACCGTAACATTCGGTGGAACGATACCACCTGCAAGGTCTGGTATGGTCTGTATGTAGCTTGGAGCACTCTCGGTACTACCACCAGCGTTATTGGCTGTTACAGTATACGAGTAATGGGTGTTTGCTAGCAGACCCATGTCAATGTATGAAAGAGCTAATCCTTCGAACACAATCACCGACGAAGCATCTTCGGTCCCTCTTCGGATAGTGTAGTTTGTTATGTCACCGTTAGGGAAATCTGGAGGTACCCATTCTATGTTGGCCGAGGTCGATGATAGATCACGAACAATTGGTGCTCTCACACCTTGTGGTGGAGCCTGTAGTGTAGTTTCACTGACAGTGGGACTTGAAGTACACCCAGCACCGTTACAGGTGTCGACATAGAAAGAGTAGGTGGTGAAAGGTGTCAGATTATCCAGCGCAACCATTCGCTCTAAACCATCCGACAAAACTGTAATGTTCCCCCCATCGTCAACCTGATAGAGTACATACTGAGTAATGATGCCATTTCTTCGACCAGGCTCTTCCCAAGCGATGACAAGAGACCGAGCTTGCACCTCAAGAAAGGTAGGCTGACTCACCATTTCCGGAACTGCTTCCAGAGTCGTGTTTGTAACAGAATCGCTTAATGTACACCCCGCATTAGTGCAAGCTTCAACAGAATATGTGTATTCTATGAAAGGCTCCAAATTTGAATCGGTGTAGGAAATGCGTGACTCAAATGTCAGAAGTGGGATACTATTTCTGTAGAGGCTATAGCCGATAAGCATTCCATTGATCTCTTGCGGTTCTCGCCAACTGAGCCCTATCTCTGTTGCCGATACAACAGTAGCAGTTGGAGCATCAACAGAGGTTGGGCGAGCCTCATCTGTTGTGCCGACTGTCACTCCACTCGAAACGTTTCCACCTCCATTGATAGCGTAAACCTCAAACCCATACAGTGTGAATGGGAGGAGATTCATTGCAACATACCGGAGGGCCAGCCCATAGAAAATAAGTGCAGGCTCACCACTGACACCCTCCCTTTGGAACAGCTGGTAGCTGGTATTGATTCCATTAGGCTCGGTTGGTGGCACTGAGGAAAACGTATTTCTGATGTGAGGAAAAGTCAGGAGATATGTACTTACCCCAAGAAATATTGGTTGAATAAGGTCCCGTTATTTGAACAGTTGGTGATGCCAATCCAACTGGTGCTACAAATAATAATACACCTTTGATAATCATGGCCAGAAGATTTAAAACGCAGTACATACCACTCTCAAAGGTCCTAACAGTCACAAGTGGGCTCAGAGTGCAGCCAAAACGTGTGCATGCCTCCACACGCACTGTCTGCTCAGAGTACGGAGCAAGACCATCTATTGTCAGACTCCCCGGTGAGCTCTGGTTGTGGTACACCACAGAGTTTCTGTAAACATGTATTTACACTGTAAAGTCTTTCCACAATTTTGAAACACTGTCTACATCACAGCTGGGCCAAACCCTATACAGAAAATTACTGGGCCTTACAGAAATATAGTGTAAGAAATAATGACTCCGTTGGGCTCGTTCGGAGCACTCCATGAGACCTGGATTGCTGTGGCACTGGCTACTTCAACTCGAGGAGCTGACAGATTCGCTGGTACTGTACAATGTATAATAAATCTCAATTCAATGATCAGCAGTTAGAGAGTGCAGTACAGTACTTACTTCCTTCTTCAGTGGTAGCGGATGCAGCGTTACTGAATGAAGATCCACGTCCATTACTCACCGAAACCTATGTATGAATGCATCTTCATACACTAAGTCTCAAAAGTGGCTATAGAAATACCCACCTGAAATATGTACTCTGTGCTTGCTACAAGATCAGTTGCTGTGTAGTCTTCTTCTCCCGATAAGAAAATTTCCCCAGAAGCTGAATCTCCAGCCACCCTCCCATACAATGTGTACCCATCGAAAGGGCCAAGTAGCTGTGAAACGTCGAGGGAGGTCCACGAGAGAAAAATGGCAGTGCTGTTCACAGTCGAGGCATTAAGATTGGGACCACTGATTGGCATTGGTGCAGCAGAGGTCTGTGTTATGTTGGAAGAAGGTGAAAAAGTTGAACCTGCACTGTTGGTGGCAACGATGCAGTAGCGATAGTTGGAGAAGGCTTCCAGGTCTAGAACAGTATTGCTGAAAAGTGTTCCATCAGTGAACGCCACTCTACTGCAGCTATCCCCCACCACTGTATGGTTTCTGTTTAGATAGGCTTCACAACAGTTTGTGAGGGTTTCCAAGTTTGCTGGAACGTCGAAGCCAAAACTGCGTTGCAAAAGAATAAAGCTTCCAATTATTCCATTCGGTTGAGTTGGCTGCTCCCACGAGACTAATATTGAAGATTCATTTATGGTGCTAACAACAGGTGCCTGTAATCCACTTGGAATTGCTTCATCTGTCACTGCCCAAACAGCATCGCTGTTGCTACAGCCGTCTGTGGCACTGGTACACACCGTGAGAAAATATGTGTAGTTGGTAAACGGAGAAAGAGATGTGTCCATATAGGAGAAGCTTCCGTTGATGTAGGGTAGGTTATCGATGTTGAGAGCGATAGTAGTTGGTGTGGAGGTAGATGGGCTCTGCCTAGTCAGGCTATAGGAGACAATGACTCCGTTTGGAATACTAGGCGGCTGGAAAGAGACTTCAATGGAAGTAGTTGAGAGAACAGAGAGGACTGGAGCAAATACGCCTTCTGGAGCTGCAGAGGTATCGTAAAGTCCATACAGTGGTGAAGCACAGAAAATACAACACAACTAACCAGCTTCAGGTGTCAAAATGCTTCTAGAGGGTCCGACTGTTGATCCTGCACCGTTAACTGCTACAATACGATAGCTGTAATTTGTGTATGGTCGTAGTCTGGTGTCCCCACACGCACGAATCACGGCAGCACTCTGGTTGCAAATGTTTGAGTATTCTTGGTCTCCGTTCTGGGCTCTTTGAATGAAGTATTGCAAGAGCTCTCCATTAGGATGACTAGGAACATTCCATGTAACAAGAACCTGGCCGGGTAACCCATTCCTGACAGTTGGAGCTTCTACCCCCTCAGGCACTGAAAGGGTTAAAGGTACATAACGTAGATCGGCAACATTCAATGAAACACTCACCGTCTTCGGATGTGGCAACATCAACCGAAGGACCCTCCACACATCCTGCAGAGGTACATGCCTGAATGGAAAACTGGTAGTCTGTGTAGGGGAGTAGTCCGGTCACGTTGTACTCGACCATTGGAGGAGTCACGTTTGCTATCTCCCTTTCATTCTGCAGCACAATGTAGACCACCAACACCCCATTTGGCTGGGCCGGTGCCTCCCACAACAGGAAGACAGAGCGTGCTTGTATCCTTTCAACTACAACTTCGTCAAACCCTGTTGGAGCTACATGGGAGAAATGTGTGTCACGAATGAATCAAGGAAGGCTAACAAAATGCCACACCTGTTTCTCCTGTTTGAATCTTGCCTGTTGCACTGGTGTTTCCTACACTATTGTAGACAGTCAGGCAGATTGAGTAGTTTGTGAATGGCCTGAGATTGTATACAACTGCTGAAGTGTTTTGCCCTTGGTCCAACATCAGCGAGGAGTCGGTGTTGTTGTAAATCTTCAGCTCATATCTTGTGATGTTGTCATTGGGCTGTTCTGGAGCAGACCAGGATACTGCTAGTGTAGTGGCATCAAGTAGGAAGAGATCAGGTGGCAGTAATCCCTCAGGAGCTGTATGGAAAACAAGTTCATTACAACAGATGACCCAAGGGTAATTCATCTATTTTTACCTGCTGGGTCAGTTGTGAAGGTCTGCACTTCACCGGATAAAGTCCCAGCACTGTTAGATACAGTGAGGACAATCTGGTACCTGGTGAATGGAACAAGTTCTTCAACTTCTTCTGTGCCCACCTCCGTATCATTAAAGACTTCTCTTGTTTCTTCTATGCTACCAGGAATGGAAGAAAATACTCCCGTAAGAGCTACAACGTAGCGAACGATTCCATTTGGCTGGGTCACTTCATTGACGGTGAAAGAGACGGTGTCAGATGCAACGAATGTTACTGAGAGTGGTACTATGCCTTCTGGGACGTCTTCATCGGTCCTTGCAACAATCGGTGTACTGGCACTGCAGTTGCCTGAGGTGCAGGCCTGAAAGTAGTATGAGTAGTAGGTGAATGGTTGAAGAGCAGTGTCGGTGTACATGAAACTGATCCCTCGGAATATCTCCATCCCATTACGAGACAGAATGTATTCAGTTATCAATCCATTGGGCCGTGAAGGCTCTTGCCATCCTATGTGGATGGCTGTTGAATTTATGACGGTTGTTACTGGTGGACTTAGTCCGTCTGGTGCATCTTCAAGGGTGGTGTTCTGTCCCACTTCACTGGCAGTGGTTCCACCAGCATTGGTCGCAAGAACTCGGAATCGGTAGACAGTATTGGGTGTTAGATCTGTTAGCTCATAGCTGAAGCCAAAGTCCCTGAAGAGTACCTGAATCACATCTCCATTGTCCGTTACTTGCTGAAGTTGGTAGTAAAGAATCTCGCCATTGGGAATGTCTGGCGGACTCCAAGTTATTTCAAGAGCGGTTGGGGTGAGTGGAGTGACAACAGGGGGATCAAGGCCATCAGGTCTGTCTGGCAGAGTGGTGTTACTGCTCTCACTGCTGTTGCTGCATTCAGCAATCGTGCATGCTTGTATGAGAAATGTATACAGGGTCGATGGCATAAGGCTGCCAACAGTGGTGTTTCTGGCTTGCCCTGAGAAATGCGCAACCCCATCAACGTAGAGTGTGTACTCTGTTATGAGTCCGTTTGGTGTGTTTGGAGGCCTCCAGGAGAGAGTGAGAGATTGAGAACCAAACACTGTCACGTAAGCTGGCTGTACTCCCTCAGGGGCTGCAAAACGAAATTGTTAAGGGATGGTCTCTGCTACATGCACTTGATATCGTACCTGATTCTCTTGTAGTAAGAATAACGACTGGTCCAATTCCTATTCCTGCTGATGTTGATGCCGACAGTGTTACTGAATAATTTGTGAATGGAAGAAGATTGTCCAGTGTGGCTTTCAGTCTTTGTTCCGGCTCCGTAATTGACAGGGTGTCCATCGCTCCTAAAGAGATATAATAATAGTAGTATCCTGTAAATCTTGACTGATATTCCACGTGTTACCTGTATGGCCCTCCATGGTGGGATAGGGAGTGGCCTCTACAGAATAGTCTGTGATGAGCCCATTTGGAACCTCTGGTGAACTCCATGTGACCACGAGGGAGGTGGAAGTTGCAGTCAGTAGAGAAACAGCACCAACATCAGCCGGAGCTATCAAAATTACAACAATCAATATAACAAAAAAAGTTGTGAGTATGAATTCTCACCACTCTGAGAGGTAGCAGTTGACTGCCAGGCACTGTAAGCACTGCCTGCTGTATTCATGGCCACAACACGATAGAGGTAAGCTGCAAATGAAAGCACCACAGCCTTGATTTCCGTAGGTATGCAATTTTGTTTTGCACGAATACCTGAAAAAGGGGTGAGGTCTGTATCAGTAAAGCTTCTCTCTGCTCTAGTGTCTACTTCGTGCCACGATGGCACACAGCTAGCACCCGCTGTGCTACCACATCCGTCAAAATTAACAAACTCTGACTCGGCAACAGTCCCCACAACTGGCTGATTATTCACATACAGGAAAGGCTCTGGCAGCCTAATGCACCCGCTGAATGGTGCATCTGTGTTCAGACTCGCATCTCCGACCATGCTAAAGTCACCAGAATCACTTGGTACCCCTCCGAAAAAGATACGCGAAGATAACATTTCTGATTCACTATCGGGAAGAGTGTAGGACTCTGACAATTCTTCATCCACAGTGATCAAGAGCAGGGTGTCTTCCTGAAGAATCGTGACACTATGCCATTCTCCATTGCATGGTCTATCAAGTACTACTGCGTCGGCATTGGCGATTATGAAGCGGAGGTATGAGTCCCGAAGTTCGATGCCACACCTTGTTTCACCGTTGGCAGACATAAGGAAGAGAAGGCCATCAGAGTGTGTGGTTCGGAACCAAAACGAGACATTGAAGCTGTTTCCAGTCACAATGTTTTCAACCAATGAAAAGTAGCCACCTCCGAGAAGTTGCATAGTACGGGTCAAATCTACAGGGCATCCTCGATCAGGGCTACCTACTCCTGAGAATCCAGCTGAAAAATCCAACTGCACTTCGTTGAATAGGACATTGTAGAGACAGCCAGCGAATCTCTCGCCTGAGAGTGTAGCTTGAGAATTGGGGTCAGCATTGATGGTCCGAAGTGCAGCATCTGGTGGAAGACCTCCGACATGATGGGTGGTGTATCCAATGACCGTGCTGAGACCCTCTGACTCTCCAGAGCCAGTGTGTGTACCATCGACGGTAACAGTCCCCGTGTTGCCTCTCTGATTCACTATCAGTGTGTGCCATTCGCCGTCATCGAACCTGGCGTCACTTTCAGGTCTGACTACTCCTGGGCCTGAGCCTGCATCAAAGACAAACCACGGTACCCCGTCACGCAGTTCAACTGCAAACATATCAGTCTCGGCAGCATTTATTGTGTAGAAGAGGAGCCCACAACAGCCAAGAGTGCGGAAACGGAACGAGAGATTGTTTTCAAAGCTACTCGGACTTGAGGGTGCAAATGTTGCATATCCAGTCCCAGTGAAGGACACCCCCACATCGTTACGGGCTGGGGTGGGGAGTAGACTAGGCGTCCGTCGGTGCACAGTATAGCTGGATATTATGCCATTTGGTTGGGCAGGAGCCTCCCAGGTGAGCTCAACTGATGTGGCATTCACATTCATAGCGGTTGGACGTGGTTGAGCGGCAGGAGCTGAGGTGGTGACAATGAATTTTCTACTTCACATGAAAAACATGTGAATATCATTACGTGGGGTGCAGTATAAACAATACATGAATCATCCTAGTGGCTTACCACTTTCTCCTGTGCGTCCAGTCTGTACCTCACTCGTGTTACACCCTGGAACTGTGCACACCTCAACAAGAAATCCATACTCTGTGAAAGGCTCCAGTCCACTCAGAACGAGGGACCCTGGGGAGGAAGAACTTGTGAGAAGCAAGTCTCGATCTCCGCCTGTGGTTGTATTGAAGATGGAATAGTTTGTGATGATTCCATTAGGGCTGGCTGGTTCGGTCCAGTTCACTTGTAGGGAGGTTGATGAAACAGCTCTCACTTCTGGTGGATACACCCCACTTGGAGCTGGGAAGAAGGAAAGGACACACGTGCGTGTGTATAGCTATGGATGTTTTGTGCACAAGTGCTATCATATACCTGCTTCTCCAGTTCTTCCCTCACTCCATTCACTGAAGGTTCCACCCGCCTCTGTATATGACTCAACTTGGTACTGATATCTGGTGAATGGTTTGAGTCCATCCACAACCAGTGACCGTGTGGCCTCATCAACTGATTCGACCGGCACACCATCTCCTCCGTCAAATGGGGCCTCCCTCTGGTGGACAACGTATCCTAGGATGAACCCGTTTGGCTCTGCTGGTGCCTCCCACTGGAGTAGTAGCTCAGTAGCTCCGAGAGTTGTCACATTGGGAGCAGGTTGTGAGGTAGGTGGAGCCTGTGCTGTTCGGTTCTGTGAGCTGGGGCTTGAACCACATCCTCCATTAGTGCAGGCTTGTACGATGAATGAGTACGATGTGAATGGTCTCAGATTTGTGACCACATAACTAAATGCATTTCCCCGGAACACCTCCGTGTATTCTGAACCCTCACTCTGGACCAACAGTATGTACCGTGATATAGCTCCATGCGTCACAGTGGGTTCCATCCACATAACAAATATTGACGTCGAGTTCAGGACAGTCAATGCCGGAGCACTTATTCCTGTTGGGATTCCTTCCAGTGTTTTAAGAACCACCTCTGAGCTGACGGTGGAGTCAATCACATTGAACGATTCAATGTAGTAGTTGTAGTAGGTGTTGGGTGTGAGACCTGTGTCGTTGTACACTGTCTCGGTGGTGTTGGCAATGTTGGAATTGTTTCGATAAACTTGGTAACCGAGAATTACACCGTTCGGCATTTCTGGGGGATTCCATGTGAGCTCAATGTACGTGGATGCTCTCAGAGTTGTTGTGGGTGGTCCCTGCTCATCAGGGGCTAAAATGGGGGAATAAGTTAATCCCTTCTATACATGTGGCGACGTATTTACCTGCTGAGCAGCCGAAGGGGTTGAGAACATCAAGTTGCTGGTACCCAAGCAAACAGCTGTTACAGGTAGCCCCCATTACAAACATCTTGCAGTTGCACACTCCTGTGACTACGTCGCACTCTGCACCGTCCACGGTTCCAGCACTGTCACAGTTGCATGGCTCACAGCTGAAAGCAATGACATGCCGTGAGTGAACCAACACATGCCGTGCTCAAGTAGTTACCTGGGGAAGTTGAAGAACCCTGAGATGCAGAAATCGCAACGTTCTCCGCCGACTCCTTGATTGCAGGGGCATTCCCCACTCCCAATATCACACACACTACTAGAAGAGCCATTAGGGTCGCAATCACACTCCACGCAGCCTTCTTGTGTGATGCGGAACCCACTCACACAGCTGTCACAGCGGTGCCCTGTGGCCGATGGAAGACACTCGCACTGAGAGGAAAGTGGGTCACAGATAGATTCACTAAGATCTGTGCCGAGCTCCGAGCAGTTGCATGCCTCACACCCAGCTGAGTTTCCAGCTGAAAGTGCCGTGAACCCACTTGAGCATGTATCACAAGTTCGCCCCTCGACATTTTCCTTGCACAGGCACTGTCCCCGGTCTTGAAGGCATGTGGCGTTGCCATCAACTGTTCCATTAGTGTTGCAACCGCAATCCACACAACCGGCTGAGAGATTGTAGTAGCCACTGGAGCATGTGTCACAGACATGTCCCTCAACATTTGGGCGACATACGCATCCACCAGTTTCCTTGTCACACACAGTCGAAGTCGAACCCCTTTCATTGCACATGCATGGCTGGCAACCCTCGTCAGAAAAACCAAAGTAACCATCCAAGCATTCGTCACAGTTACTACCTCCAACACCGGGTTTGCATTCGCAGGCACCTGTTACCGTGTCACAGGCTGTGGAGAGAGAGCCAATGCTGCTACATTGACAGAATGAGCACCCGTCCATGTTCATATCAGAGAGTCTCGTCGTGCCGTTGACACATTGGTCGCACTTGAGTCCCATCACATTTGTCTTGCACGAACACTGACCAGTTGTTGCATGGCAAGCATCACTACCAGAAACAGTTCCATCAGTGTTGCAGTTGCAAGGGGCTGCAGCCTTGTCGGTTAGAGGCAGACAGAGCAAAGAATCCTTTTTCACACTGGTTGCACTTCAAACCTATCACATTTGCCTTGCACTGGCACTGGCCGACCACTTGCCCCGGTATACCCTCACTCTGTATAAATGGAGCAGTCTCTAATGTCTAATTTACATGAATCCTTGGCTAACCATCACGCAGTCTCCATTGTTGGTGTCACCGCGAGGATCACAGTCGCATGTTGTGCATGGATTAGGATCATCCGGGTCCACTCCAGGCTCTCGGAAGTAGGCAAAGGCACAGTTTTCACAATGTTGTCCAGCTGTGGGAATCAATATGTGTGGACATGTGTTTTAGGATGGCTTACCAAAGGATTGCTGACCTGTATTGCTCTGACAGTTGTCACACACTCCACCTCCTCCCTGATCATAGCTGTCGGGGAAGGGATCCAGTGAGGCATTATAGTGGCAGGAGTCTGCGTGGCCATTGCAGTCACACATCTTGCATGGATAGGCATTGTCTGTTTCCCCATATCGCCATGGCTTGTCATTGAAGAGTGGCAGACACTGATCACAGGTATCGCCCTGTGTGTTGTGAGCACACTCACAAACAGAATCGATACTGCTACTGCATCGACTAGAGTGACCGTTGCAGGCACATCTGGGAGACGAAATCACAAGATAAACCAGGAAAACTCTTACGTGAAGACCACCTACCTGGCTGCTACAGTGATCTCAAGAATATTGTAGTATTCGTGTCCTGATGAGGTGTTTTCAGTGAAGAGGTCGACCAGTCGCAGTCGCAGGTGTGAGGAGAGAATGAAATTTCGAAGCTCTGGGCTGGTGTTGAGGTCAACGGACGAGTCTGGGGATCCAGCAGCCGTGTTCTAACATCCACACCATACGTCGGCATTTGTCTAATAGGGGGCGAGTCAAAAATAGCCCAAAGATGTTGTGTGTAACTCACATGGACTCTGAAGTTGTGCAGGTGACACTATCTGCAGCTGTGATTACTCCATTGTCAGGTAAGCTGAAGTAGTTCATGCAATCATCAGCGAAATATTGAATTGGTTCAAATGTTAAGCCTCCGTCCCTCGATGTCTCCATAACTGCCGCTTTGAACCGCGGTGAACCGAAACGAAAGTTGATGAATATCAACTGCACAGAAAACAAAGTACACATGTAGACTGACTCAAGGAAAATTTATTGGAACACACCTCATAGAAGGAATTGGTAAGATTCAAAGTGATACTTGCTTGGCGGTCGCCGGGAGATGATATCCAGCCATTACCAACACCAACATTGAGATCGTTGATGAATCCAGGAGGATGGGCAAGTGGATTAATACGATCTGCTGCCCCTCTACTAAGAAGGTCTCCGTCGTGCTGAATGCATCTTGTTTCATCGTCAAGGTCAATTACAGGATGAGAGGGAGGACAGTGGCATTTGGTACTCAGATAACTGAATGGAAGACTTCCTTTGTACAACTCTTGCACCTCCCTAAAGAATCAGAATGAAAGACAGCAAGAGCACGCTGTGTATACAAACCTTTGCGTGAGGGCTTGGGTGTATAGATACATGCTCTCCATCCGCCCACTGAAGCTTCCAACACCTGCCAATGAAACAGATGTATGAGTAGGGTACATACTATAGCTTGAAAATGAGAAACTTTACCATTTGATGTCTGCCCAAGCAGCACCGTCCGGTTAGCATCCACCATCTTACCCTCCAGTGCCTGCACCCCTTCCACCGTCCCGTCCACGTACACTGCAGCATCCTCTGCATACACAGTAATCGCAACATGATGCCAGGCCCCTGCTGGAAGTGAAACTCCATCAACAATGACAGTTCTGTATCTCTGAGAGCCCTCTTGAAGACTGGAGAGGTCAAGAGTGTCTGGGAGATAGTCAAAAATTACACGGCCCTGTTCCACTGAGACGACGTAATTTCTCTCAATCGAGTCACTGTCTGGTGATGACTTGGACACAACAGTACTGCGGGATAAGACGTGGAATTTAAAAATGAAAATAGCTATTGCATGCGATGGTGGCTCACCCTCTGGTATTGCTGCTAGATTCCCTATTGATCCAAGCTGCAAAGGTGAACCCATTGTCGCTCAGTAGAGGCACAGCACTTGCAGGAACTTCAACTGAAGAGCTCTGAAACCGGAATGCCGTTTGTTCTCCACTTTCTCTTCCCAGTGCTGCAATCACCCCGGATCCCAATGTTCCCGCAGCCGCAAGCCGAAATCCCGCGGGCGACGAGTCAGAATGCGGACAAGTATTGTCGCAGGTGGCCTCAATGCAGGATGGCAGCAACCCGAGCGATTGTGAGACGACCGTATCGGTGGTATATTGACAATACTGCTCCGGTCCGTTGGATCCGCACAAGGAATCGGCCGTGACTGGCCGATAGGTCGCCACGCTGGCCACGGATGGGTAGGCTCCGGTTTGCTGAGAGTGGGAGGGGCTCAGCAGAAACTGCAGGAATATCACCGCGGCGAGTAGTTTTGTGTAGACCGCCATTGCCGTGCAAGCCGCCATTGCCGTGCAAACATCCACGGTCAAAATGGTCGGTATGTTTAGCTCTTCTTTCTCCTTTTCGCTCTGATCCACCACCCGCCGTTTAGAGTCCCGTTTAGGGGGCGTGCCGGCTTTGCGCGTGGCGAATTGATACGCCCACCACCGCGCTTAGAGAGAGCTGACGATCGACCACACACACCGGTACGCGCATGCGCGCGCATATCTATCAGCGCGCGATCGAAGCATGCATCATCACGCGCTGGCTGGTGGTATAATTATACCTACCATGCATGTATATACCAACGACAGTCGTTGTATACCGCACCGCCGGCATGCACGCAAGACGCACCATGACCACCACTGCACCACCAACCAACAACAGCTAGCTAGCGATATTGCGCATGCGCATAATTATATCTGCATGCAGCGTCGTTCGGGATCCCCGGGCTACGCCCAAGCCACTACTCCAGCAGTCCTCATGGTCATCGCTGTGGCATCTCGAAGCAGAAACGTCGGAAGCAATGTCGAACGGCTCCGCCGGGAGCCGCCCACCCGACATGACAAATCCAGGTCGACCGAGAGCCCAGGAATCGTTTCCAGAGCCGCCGCTGATGAAAGCGGTGTTCACCCACCTCAGCTACGGGATACTCATCCTCCTGGGGCACGTCTGTGATTTTCTGCGCAAGCTGGGCATGAAGCGAGATCCTTACACGGAGGCGCTAAAGAACGAGGCGAGTTCACTGATCGCAGATACTAGATCTTTTACTGCTAGCTAAGTCCGCACTTCTCATGCTTAGCTACATTTATGAGTTTCGAAATGCCTGCTACTGAATCTAGCTAGCTGCGTTTTGTGGTTTGTTTCCACAGGATCTCTTCAAAATGAACCTGGATTTCGAGATGTTTTTCACGCGGAACATCTACCGTCGTATCCGAGACTGCTGGAACCGTCCAATAGCCAGCGCCCCTGGAGCCTACACTGATCTCGTAGACAGAGTCAGTGATGACTGTAACTGGACATTCAGGTGTGTATCTTTACTGGTGTCTATAATATATGCTGGAAGTATTTCCTGTCAAGTGTCATTAATTAGTTAGGCATGTGTTCCTTGGCTTCTCTTGTTGGCTCTGGGACAAAGGGTTTGTGAGTATGCAGATATCCTCCACGTGGTGTGTTCCTGTTGCTAAGTGAGTATGCAGATATCCTCCACTGGTGTGTTCCTGTTGCTAAGGAATCTGTGTTGATTACTTTGCTTATAAGAAACTGGTGGCTATATATACATGCCTAGATCATCTGCACATTTGGGGAAATGATTTAGATACACTGGTACCAAGACAAACTGCCTGAACCTGGGCTCCTACAACTATCTTGGGTTTGCTGAGAACACTGGACCATGTGCAGATGCAGCCTATCAGTCCACTCTGGACTATGGAGCTGGGACATGCAGCCCTGCCAGAGAACTGGGTATATTAATTAACTTCCTGAACTTGGGCAGCTCAGCTTTTATTGCACGCTTGGCATCAGTGGCCTTGTGAGTAACGCCTGCAACCACAGGCACTCTGGATGTCCACAAGAAGTTGGAGGCTCTGGTGGCCAGGTTTGTGGGGAAACCAGCAGCTCTGGTCTTTGGTATGGGGTTTGCCACCAACTCCATGAACATACCAGCTCTCATGGGAAAGGTGAAGTATTATACATATGCACCCACTTCTGGTAGTGTGTTTGATGGCAGGGTTGTTCTCTCACGTTTCTGCAGGGGTGTCTGATTGTGAGCAATGAACTGAATCATGCCTCGATCGTCACTGGTGCCAAGCTCTCTGGAGCAACTGTCAAGGTCTTCAAACACAACAGTCAGTACTTACTAGTGAAGACTCTTCTTTCTTAGCCAAACTTCTGTCTCCGTGGTATTTGGTTGGCACTTAGGTGACTTTGCATGGAATCTCCTTTTTTCAGCGGCTAAACTTTAATGGACACAGCCGTTTCCAGTTATACAGCACACACTTCGTACCTCCCCTGTCCAACACCCAGGTGTCAAGAGTCTTGAAGCCATTCTGCGTCGGGCCGTCACAGACGGCCAACCGCGGACTCACAGGCCGTGGAGAAAGATCCTCATCCTGGTGGAGGGTGTCTACAGCATGGAGGGATCCCTGGCACCCCTCCCCGAAATTGTCCAACTAAAGAAGAAGTACAAAGTAGGTGATTATAATTCACAGAATTCAATATAGTCTTTGGCGTTATCTTTGACACCAGCAGCGAGTGTATTTTATTCCAGCTGGATACCACCTGTAAATAGGGAAGGCCTGGGTGGTTCAGGGGGGCTGCTGTGGTTAATGGGGCTCCATGTACATATACTGTAGTCACTGCACCAGAAAATTTGTATGAGTGTAATAAACAAACCTCTGACTCGTTCAGGCCTATGTGTATCTGGATGAGGCCCACAGTATAGGAGCCATGGGTCCCACAGGCAGGGGAGTGTGCGAGTACTGGGGGGTAGACCCTGCCGATATTGACATAATGATGGGTACCTTCACCAAGAGCTTTGGAGCCGCTGGCGGCTACATTGCAGCCAATCAGGTGAGGGTCTTCTATCCTATCGTAGGGTTTTGATAGCTAACCTTTGTTTTGTCTGTAGGATGTGATCAACTACTTGCGAGGTGCATCTCACAGTACCACGTATGCTACCAGTGTACCTGCTCCGGTGGCCCAGCAGATCATCACCTCCATGACTATCATCATGGGAGACGACGGGACCAAGGAAGGGGAGCAAAGAATAGCACAGCTACTAGAAAACAGCAGGTAAGGAGGCTCATGTGTATAGGGAGTTGTATATACCCCTCTCTAAGGACACCCCTCTCTAAGGACACCCCTCTCTAAGGACACCCCTCTCTAAGGACACCCCTCTCTAAGGACACCCCTCTCTAAGGACACCCCTCTCTAAGGACACCCCTCTAAGGCACCCCCTCTAGATACCCCTCTCTAGGACACCCCTCTAGCACCCCTCTAAGGACACCCCTCTCTAAGGACACCCCTAAAGTGTACACCTTACTTTCTTAAAGAACGGTTTTTAACCCAATATGGGCACTTTCTTTTGTTCCATTGGTGTCCGGATGAGAGGTGTTCCACTGTACTTCTGCAACAGTTTCCAAAGTTGACTTCTGCAACAGTTGACTGTGGTCCCTCTTTGTGCTGCAATAGATACTTCAGAAAGAGGCTGAAGGAGATGAATTTCATAGTCTATGGAAATGAAGATTCGCCGGTCGTCCCCATCCTCTTATATGGACCAGGGAAACTCTGGTGTGTGCCAAACCACGACACAAACTGTAGTTTTGCATCTGTCCGTATAGCTATATAGTCACTCCCTCTCTCCCTGAAACTTTGACTAGCAAACTGCGTAAATCAGATATTTCATGTGGTTCCCTACGACCCAGTAAGTAACACGCAGGAAATGTGCAATGCTGCTCTAAAAACCTGTAGGGTTTACGTCACAGACATTATCTAAGTCCCGATATCTCTTGTTCCAACCCGTTGGCTGTATAATTGGCACACACACACACACAGGGAGTTCTCTCACCAGATGTTGAGGAGGAAGATAGCGGTGGTGGTGGTCGGGTTCCCAGCCACCACTCTGGTGGAGGGCCGCGTGAGAATCTGCCTGTCTGCCTCCCACACTCGCGACATGCTCGACTTTGTAAGTATATACCGATACCAACTCTGATCACGCACATATTATGCTAGTAGGTTTATAAAAGTGGTCTAACCAACTGCATGCTGTAATTATATATCCCTTTATGTCTCGCTTGAGTAGCTACCCCCTCCTACCCAAGTTTCATGAGATTTAGGCATTTTTGAGATGGACCAAGACTCTCTTGGCCCTTAATGATGGTATATATATACACAATAATATCTGATAGTGGAGTTAGATTGATGGTTGGTTTGTGCATCTCCCATTTTCCTATCCAGGCACTAAAGGAGATCAATGATGTTGGTGATCTTCTCACCATGAAGAATGGTTGGCTTAGCTTTTAGGTTCCACTAGAATTACTCTCAGAACATTTTTACACAATGTGCTGCATTACACTTGCTCAATCATGCGATTCCTTCTTGATCTGCTGTGCTTGGTTATAGCGCATGCGCTAGGTGTCTGCGCCACCGCGCGCGCAGGGTAGTGCGCATGCGCACAACGTGGTATAAAATATTTTTGAAGAACCGCGGCCACACCTATCTCCAGTTGCGTAGTGCATCACACTGTTAGACATGGCCGCCGTCGAGAATAGAGCTCCCGAGGCTGAGTCGCCGGAGAAGCAGCAGCAGCAGAGGACGCCCAAAGAGGTGTTCGAGCCTCCGCCTCTCCTCCGCGCAGTCATGACGTACATTAGCTACATTGTTCTGTACGCAGTCAGCCTCGTCGGTGACACTCTGCGGAAACTCGGTCTCAAGACGTCTGGTCACGTAGAGGTCACAAAGAAAGAGGTGGGCGTTTTGTGTGCTTCAAGCTCCCTCTCTAGAGTGGTGTTTTGTGTTTTCAGGACTGGTTCAAGATGAACCGCGGCTTCGAGACGTTCTTCGCCCGGAACATGTACCGCCGCGTGCGAGACTGCTGGAACCGTCCCATAGCCAGCACACCTGGAGCCTACACTGAGCTGGTGGACCGAGTCAGTGACGACTACAACTGGACATTCAGGTGTGCATTCTCTGAAAGCCTGTTCTCTTTGAAAATCCATGACAAAGCAACATCAGATATAGCGGAACCATAGATAATATAGCGGAACCACTATATTTTCTATGGCAACATAAGTGTGTCTTCCCAACCCTGGCAACGGGATATGGGGTGATGTTGGACGCCCATCAAAGTCACCCGAATACTATACTCTGGGGAATGTACATTGTAGGCGTGGTGAGGGTCACCTTTTGTGCAATGTAGGCATACTGGAGGCTCTACAAACTGCCTGAACCTGGGCTCCTACAACTATCTTGGGTTTGCTGAGAACACTGGACCATGTGCAGATGCAGCCCATCAGTCCACTCTGGACTATGGAGCTGGGACATGCAGCCCTGCCAGAGAACTAGGTAATAAATGTTCCACAGAGCCTTACTATACTGTATTGCTAACTTCTCTATGTTTTTCTGAAGCTATTAGGCGTTTGATTCTGTTAGCCGCAATACTCCATGTGGTCGAAGAGTGGTGCGATCTTAGCCGCCCATGACCTAAACATGTGCACCCACACATGAGCTGATACATGCATTATGGCACATTATGCAATGAGGACCCTTCGATGAATAGACATACTGACGTAATATGCTACTTTACTCAAGGGCCGGCCGACAAGGTGTTGTGTACTGCTCATCTTTGTTCACGTGTCACAGGCACTCTTGATGTCCACAAGAAGTTGGAGGCTCTGGTGGCCAGGTTTGTGGGGAAACCAGCAGCCCTGGTCTTTGGTATGGGGTTTGCCACCAACTCCATGAACATACCAGCTCTCATGGGAAAGGTGAGATGAAGCAATTGTATATGTACCTCCCTGGACTGCTGGTGGTAATGTGGTTTATGACAGGGGGACCTCCTCATTAGCGATCAGCTGAACCACGCCTCTCTGGTCACTGGAGCAAAACTCTCTGGTGCCACAGTACGAGTCTTCAAACATAACAGTTGAGTCACACAGAGTAACCTCTGAGAAATTGAAACTGCATTTGCCATTGTTTTTTAAGGTAACCTTTAAAAGTTTACATTTCCAACCAATTCAGTGTGAGAACCCTTGAAGAGCTGTTGCAGTATTGTTTGTCAGAGAGAGTTTGAGTGTCAAGATGTGTCTGTCTGTCTGTCTGTCTGCAGACATGAAGAGTCTGGAGAACGTGCTGCGTCGTGCGGTGACAGAGGGTCAGCCGAGGAGACTCAGAGCGTGGAGAAAGATACTCATCGTGGTGGAGGGAGTGTACAGGTAAACACCACAGTGAGTGTTTGTGTCTACAGTGTGGCATCGAAGCCATGTCGATATACTCGCTAACCTATCTACTGTCCATCTTTTAGCATGGAAGGATCGGTATGTAAACTAGCAGAAATAGTCCGACTCAAGAAGAAATACAAGGTAAGATGCATACATGGTGCCCTTGGCTAATAATTGATACCTATACCACTTCAGGCCTATGTGTATCTGGATGAGGCCCACAGTATAGGAGCCATGGGTCCCACAGGCAGGGGAGTGAGCGAGTACTGGGGGGTAGACCCTGCCGATATTGACATAATGATGGGTACCTTCACCAAGAGCTTTGGAGCCGCTGGCGGCTACATTGCAGCCAATCAGGTGAGGGTCTTCTATCCTATCGTAGGGTTTTGATAGCTAACCTTTGTTTTGTCTGTAGGATGTGATCAACTACTTGCGAGGAGCATCTCACAGTACCACGTATGCTGCCAGTGTACCTGCTCCGGTGGCCCAGCAGATCATCACCTCCATGACTATCATCATGGGAGACGACGGGACCAAGGAAGGTATGTACATGTCTACCGCCAACCAGTGAGTATAAACTCTGACGCTCCCTCCACTTCTTTATACTACAGGAGAGAAGAGAGTAGCTCAGCTATTAGATAACAGCAGGTACGTGTACGTATAATTTTTTTTACACGATTTCAGAGTAAGTGCCTCAAAATGCTGTGTTAAGTTTCTCACACATGCATACTGTAAAATGTTAACATTGTATGTGCTGGGTAGAGTGAGTCAATCTGTTGTTGTACTAGGTACTTTCGGCAGCGCCTGACTGAGATGAATTTCATAGTGTATGGCAACGAAGACTCGCCGGTGGTCCCCATCCTTCTCTATGAGCCTGGGAAAGTCACGTATGTCAGAGAGGACGAGAGAGAGAGAGAGAGAGGACGAGAGAGAGGGAGGGGAGAGAGAGAAAGAAATGCCAGGGTTTTAAAGGAAATTTGTTGGGAGGGGTCCTGTAAGTGGTATAATGCATGCAGATTGCTGATTTTAAGGTGTGGATTAAAGAGATTCCTCTTAGAAAAGAACGGTGTATATTCTTTTCATGAAGAACTCCCTCTCTCACTGTTTTGCAGGTCGTTCTCTCGAGAGTTGTTGAAGAAGAAGATAGCAGTTGTGGTGGTGGGGTTCCCTGCGACGTCCATTGTGGAGGCGAGGGCTAGGATCTGTCTGTCTGCCTCCCACACCCGTGACATGCTCGACTACGTATGTTAATTACTACGTATACTTCCTACGACTATTTACATTATATTTGTGTTCTTGTGTTCTTGTGTTTTCACAGGCACTGAAAGAGATTAACGAAGTAGGAGACCTGCTGTTACTCAAGAAATGATCCACTGATAAAGCACAAAAACTCATCTATATAGCACTAGTTCCTTTATTCCCATACAGACTTGGTTCTAACCACGCGCATGCGGATAATGAAGTGCGTGTTCGTTACGCGCATGCGTGTATGACAGCTGACCGCCACAGAAGGGGCCGCTGAGATTCCTTTGCAAAGATGAAGGACAGTGGCTCACTGCCAGGAGCCAGGTACCTGCTGAAAGTGGGAGAGGACAAGTGTGACGTGGCGTCTGTCGTTCCGTATGTCGTGGGACGGCTGGAGGAGCGAGGCCTCCGGTGTGTAGTGGAGGGTAGACACATCGTGGTGTCCGCTGAGCCAGCGACGCTCCTAGCACAGGTATATACAGGTAGCGCAAACTCTCTACTGACTGAATCATTCCGTCTCCTCTTCTGTATCAGGCAGAGGGGATGAGGTGGATGAAACTGCTGAAAAATTCTGAGGAGGTCAATGTCCTTGTCCAAACATGCAGTACTAGACCGTGTTATAGTACAGGTTGCCTCTTTTACTGTTGGAAGAGAAGGAGAATTTGAGCCGTCTGACAATGAAAAGCTCTTCAGCTCGGCCGAGTGCTCTCTCCTGCTCTACCACTGCCTTGAAAACACTCCCTACACTCCAGTGAGCTCAGTTACACTGCAGTTCTTAGCAGATGCAATATCTATGACTTCACGAGCCTCACTATCCTACAGAGTGGACTCCAGAGTGTACACGAGTGTGTTCTGGAGGGAGACAAGGGTTTCGTGAGTGCCCTGCGTCTGTGCAAACCTCCAGTGTTGGCAGAGGTCTACCCACTTCACCAGCAAGAAGATTGCAAGTCTCTCATGTCAATGCTGAAATGGTCACTACTGCCCTCTGTACCGCTTGATGTACAGCACATCAGAAACTACTTTGGTATACACATCATAGTAGGAGAATTAGTGTGTATATATAGCAGCAGCAACGCTAATTGAGGTCTCCCTTTCCCTATCTCACATCTCGCTGCTGTTGTATATATATGCCTATCCATATCTCACCTTATCTATTAGCTGGAACCTTTGTACAGCAAGGATGTTACTGACGTTGCCTGCTACATGATTGCAGGGGAAGAGGTGGGGTTCTATTTCGGGTGGATGTGTTTCTACCTGAAATTCATCTGTGTCCCGCTGGTGATTGGGCTGCCCATGTACATCCTCAGATCTGGCGGAGTCACGGTCGACACTGACCCCTACCTCCCCTTCTTCTCTGTCATCATGGCTCTCTGGGGCGTCCTCTTCATCGTGGTAAGACTATTCACAGAGTTTAATTTCTGCGTGGCAGTTAGTTTGCTCGCAAATTTCTGCAAAACTCTCCCCGCCAACCTTTTATTTCTTATTTTCCAGAGCAGGAACATATGGCTAGGAAAACCTTCATGAATTCCAGTTTAAGAGCCATTCATAAAGGTTTTCTTTACAGGATTACTAGTTCACTAGGTCCCCTTCAGATACTCCGTATCGTACAGCATAATACATTATGTAATATTATCCCCCCTCTCTCCCAGTTTTGGCAGCGCCAGAGCAACACCTACAGCTTCCTGTGGAACACGTACACCCTCTCCCCGGCTGACGAGCTTCGACAGGAGTTCCACGGGTACCCCTCCGTAGACCCAGTCACCCACCAGCCCAACATCCACTACCCCGCCTGGAGGAGGAGGCTGTGGTACTTGTTCAGTGTGGCCGCCATGCTCCCTCTCCTCTCTCTCGGAGTGGCCACCATGACACTCTCCCTCAACCTCAACGGATACGTCAAGAGCACGGGGAGCCTAATATACGTGGAGAGTCTTGCCAAATATGCCCAGCCTGTGAGTTCACAAATTGTCTCTGTCTCAGACTCTCTTCAAACCAGAGAATTACACAAATTTCATTAACTCCTGCAAGTTTTTAGCATGACGTGCATGGTGGGAGGCATCATTTGTGAAACTCTTTCGTGAGAAGTTGTCACAGAGGCGGTATATGCAAGACTTGTGGAGTGTCAAAGCAGAATATTATCATTGATTTCTTGTGTAGGGAGGGCTGTTTGCTGGGGACTCTCCATACTTCCTGTGGCTGGTGCCCGTACTCGGCCACTCTGTGTGTGTAAATATCGTCAACAGTGTCTACAGCAGGCTGGCCGAGTGGTGCACCGACCTAGAGAACCACAGGTATTACGTTTTCGTAGGCCGACTCAACAGTAGTGTAAAGCCATTGGTTCTCCAGTTTAGGTTGGCAAGTTTGTGGTCCTGAAGATGCTCGCTTATTAGTAGTCAAAACCGGCCTTACCTGTTTTGGCGTGTTACGTGTGAATTCTGTATTCCACATATGGGAAAGTTATCTCGCCTCCTCTCCCTGCCCCCAGGACAGTGCAGATGTGGCACAATTCTCTGGTGGTGAAGAGAGTATTCTTTGAGTGCTTTGACTGTTTCATGCCTCTCTTTTACATCGCCTTCTACCAGCTCGACGTTGTGACACTCCGAGCAGAGATTGTCAGTCTGTTTATGAGTGAGCCAACAACCATCAGTCTTTTGCCTACGTTTAGCATTCTCATCTCTCTCGACATGTATAATTATTACAGTTGGATGAATGTGTTGGTTGTTGTCTCTGGTGAAAGGTTAGGCAATGTATAGGGTGAGCACAGTGGCACAATTAGTGTTCTGTGCAGAAATTAACTGCGTTGCTTGGGGTGTGGATTGAATAATACCACATCCACTGCCTTCACTGCAGGTGATGAGATACGGCGTGTGGTGATGGAGACAGCCATTCCTCTGTCCAGACGATTTCTTGTCGGTCGAGTGGAGAAGAAACTGGGAAAGGCGGCACGTCCCTGACACCATTCTCTCAGAGTACGATCAGTTTGATGACTACCTGGAGATGGTCATCCAGTTTGGAGTGAGTGAAAACCAAAACCCTCTCTCTCCCTCTTTCGGTACATTACAATGGAACCCTTCTAATCCAGACACATGTGGAACAGACTAAGTCGTTAGTGAGGTGCCTATTATGCAAGAACTGTTCTTGGGGGAGGGAAAGGGGGTCCTTATTAGAGAGGTGTCCTCGTTCAGCGTTTCCCTAGAGAGGGGTTAAACCGTGCATACACCGTTTGCGTGGGCTTTACACAAATACCCATCTCTCCCTCTCCCTCCCTCCTGCCCAGTACATTACACTGTTTGCGTCGGCCTTTCCCCTCGGAGCTGCCGTGACATTCCTCTTCCTCTATGTGGAGGTGCGCTCCGACCTCTTCAAACTCATCACTGCATACCGCAGACCTTTTCCAAGAAGGTTGGAGTGAAAATGTTGATAGATACATGCACACATGCACCCATAAATATTTTGCCTCTAAAAACCTATTGGTGGCTGTTAAAATTAGGTAGCAATAAGCTGTTAAAAATTTGATCAAGCACACCCACATTTTTCAGTTATGTCCACTTTTCTCTGTGAGGTCAGAGTTCGCGACATGGGGGTGTGGTTTGAGGTGATGCAGGGGATGGTGTTGCTGGCGGTGCTGACCAACTGTCTCATCCTGGGCTTCTCCTCTGAGCAGCTCATGCAGTGGCTGCCTTGGCTCTACTCCAGAGACCCAACCACCGGAGGAGATCAGATCATGGCCATCGGCAGCGGGAGGTTAGCCGAGACTCATTAGCACAGGAGCCTCCCCACTTATCTCTAGTACTTGAACACATGCAAAAATGCATGATTTGTAGTGCAAACCCACATCAGTGCTTTTATGCAATTACACTGCAGTGCAGACAGAGGCATCTCCAAATACATGATTTCGACAACTAGCTGAATACATGTAGTAGAAATGGAGCCTTATAGAGTCATAATTATGCATCAAGTTCTGGGTGTAGAGATTGTCCACGGAAGGGCGGAGAGAAACCATCATTACTTTTCCTAGGTACGTAGTGGGAGTGGTGTTTGGATGTGAGCATCTGCTCCTGCTGGTGGCAGTGTGGCTGCGCTACATCATCCACCCCACCACCAAGACGGTGAGGTTGGCCATCGCCAGGCGGGACTACCTCAGCTCACAGCAGAGTGGCAGACAGAAGGAGCCAGCTTGGAAGACATCGGGGGATAAGGAGAAGGCCGACTAGCAAAGAATGATAAACTGTTTGGACTTGCAAAACAAGTGTCTGTAGTCCTGGAATCAGACGCTAAAAGCAGTGCCGCCAAATATGATTTTTCCTTAGGTATTCATTCTTCGCAGTGTTCTAGATAAGACTATATCACACAATTATGCAGTGTATTATAGTGCATACTGATCGACTCACTTGATCTAAAGACCGTACACATCATTGCCGAGCGCGTTAGCGTGAGGCAACTACTGCGTGGATGCGTACGTATGTACGTGTCGGTTACGCTTAAGAATGTAAATTAGTCACGCGTGTGGAATGTAAATTAATCACGCTTAGGAATGTAAACTTCCGTCATCATTCGTAAGAAGTCGCCGTGCGCGCGCGCAGATTCGTAGAAAGTCTGCGCAGTATAGTAGTTGCTGCATGCACTGTTTACGCACGCGCATTGGCGCGAGGCAAGATATGCGCGTGCGCATTCCTAGTATCAGTGAATTATAGTGCAATATAGTGAATGAGTGAGATGGTGAATGGGGGGAGAGATCAGATATACAGACTGGAGTAAGACAGTGTTGGGTGCATGAAATGATAAGCTCCTAAAGATAACCATGCGTAATATACACAGCATGCGAATCAGAGGGTCATTCGGTTTTCGATTTCCCAGTCCCTATCTTGACAGCATGTTGGAGGCCCTTCTGCATCAACTTGGCATAGAGCGGTTGCAGAGCCTGTAGAAAATTTACAACACACGCTCAACGTGTGTGTGTGCGCGTAGAGTGCTCACATTTTCCCAGACGACGGCAGTGACGTTGTCGATGGCCTGACCGACCTCCCTGAAGTTCCCGCTGTACCTCACGTAGCTCCAGAGAAGGACACAGAGAAGGGGGATGTAGAGACCAAAGATAGCAGACTGCGAGAGGAACTCGATGCCCATCATGTCCAGGATGCTAGAGATGAAGTAAGACACGGCCATCACAGTCACCAGAACTGCCGGCGTGCGGTAGGCATTCATGATGTGTTTGCTCTCGTTTCGCTTGAGGAAAGACTCGTACGCCTCCATCATCTCTTTCTGAAGACGCTCCTCGAAAGCTGCGCTGAATGCCTCGCCACCCATCTTACGGGTGGTTTTGAACTGCTCCAGGCAAAGCTGGGTCAACTCCTTGTGCTTTGCCTCGAGTTTCTCCGGAGCAAGGTATGGAGTTTCAGCCCCACACAGCTGAAGACGAGAGAGAGAAAGATGGACACAGTGTGCATGCAAATGAGGGGAACCCCTGTAGTTCAGGGCTAAATAAGGGAGGACTTCCAAACCTTTTCCATTTCCTTTATGTATCTGTCTCTGGAGGCGTTCTGGGCATTCAGATTGTTGGCTTCAGCCGTAGCCTACCACAACAGACACAACACAAGTGTGTTAACCTTATGACCAGACTACAGTATTATTATGTGACTGTACAAACTCACCTCCAACATTGATTTCGGTTCGGGGAGCGTTTCACTTTGATAGATTTTCATGTAGACCTTTGAGCACACCAGACAACAGGATATGCATGAACATGCAGTAAGAGAGCATACACCCACCCACACTAGTAGAACCAGCTGACCTGGAAGCAGTCAAGGAGTCCGCTGCCAGTGACGGGGTTCCCGTTGATCTTCTTGACCATGAGCCCTTCCCCGGAGACCAGGAGAGGGACCAGCTGGGCTAGGTTCTCCTTGAAACTGGAGTCAATATCTGCCACACAAAACACACACACAAACAGAGTAAGTTCAGTATAAACATGCAAAAGTCCTATTGTGATCCATGTAGGTTACTAAACAATTTCGAAGTGTATAGAGTCACACACAGTACTCTGCAATGCTTAATAAAGGACACAAACATGTACTGTAGAGCCTGAAATATGGGCGGCCATTATATTTAGTGTTTTACTCAGACTCCACGTATTGGCGGCCATTAATATTAGCGTTTTGTAAGTTGTGGTTAACATTGACCCCTTATAGAAACAATTTTGGCGGACCATTAATTTTAGCGATTTATTTTTAACACCAAATTCGCTAAATTTAATGGAGCGTGAATATTTCCGGTTTTACAGTATATTACTACTTTCTCTCTCTCTCTACCTGACAGGTGTCCTTTGAAGCTGGGGTTTGTGGCAACTTTTAGGCCGGGGTGAGGGAGAAGGAAGGAGAACACTCGATCGAAGCACCCCTGAATGTGCTGTCGAACTATCTTTATCTCCTCGTGTTGGCCGTCCTTTACCTTCGGGATGAGGTAAGCTTATGTAATAGTCCGTGCTCAGAGAACTTGCTTGCCTGTAAGACTTTCTTAAGATAGTCTGTGCCTCCCTTCTCTCCAAACTCATGATCATAGGGGTAGCTCCAATCTCGCACAAGGCAACACAGAGACTGCAAAAACAGACATATATTATTACACACATAATGTACCCTGTCGCAGACATGTTTCTTTTTACCTGAAATGGTTTGATGCCAGAGTTCTCTTCCATGGCCAGTCGACCATACTCAGTGAATAGCTGTACATATTAGAGCAATAGCGCGGGTGGTGTCATTGGATGTAGTGGTTGTAATCTCACGTGTAGGTGCTGAAGATCATTCTCCTGTATTAGACCAGAGAGGTTGTAGACCTGTAGAGAGAGATAAGGGATTAAATGATGGCTGAATTAGTATTATATTATAGCAAGAGGACCTGAAGAGAGGAGACCATGGTGCTGAGGGCAAATATGGTGGCACAGTCCTTCACTGTGGACTGGTTATCAAAGGCACCCTGGGTGTCCAGGAGTAGGACAGCAACCTGTGTGGGGACAGGAGAGAGAGGAACAGGGAATCAACTAGTCTCGTGATCCAGACCAATATTTTCTTTGGGAACAATGCGCAAGGGGAGGATTGCAAGGAACAATACGGTTGGTTCACGAGATTATGGATCAACATGATGACTGGAGCGAGACTCTCTATGCTGAAGTCTGTATGCATGCACAACAGACAATACACACTCTATGATTGATGGTCAGGTGACCAGTTTCCCATCCACTAAAAAAACAGTCATATGACACACTAGAGTTCCAGCTAACAAAGCTACATGTACATGTATGGCAAAAGAGAAAACTCTGGATTCCAGGAAATTTCAGTTAGGGAGGAAAGATGCACAGTGGGCAGGGGTGGACTATGAATTACCACAACAAATCGTCCTAATGTGCAAGTGTATTATCATACACCTCCACCTCAAAGTCACTAATGTCTCCCTCTTTGATGTGAGGGCCAAGATTCTTGCTCTGTTAGTGAGTGCACCTATATCAAAGTTGTATACAGCACCTCTTCTCGGGAGTTGGGTAGTGGGATGATGTAGGGCTTGCTCCACATGAGGATGCCAGTTGTATCCCTCTCGATCCCTCCTCTCCACGTGAACCCAGTCAGCTCCTCCCCCTCCTCCCCCTCCTCCCCCATCCACCATCCCTCCCCTGACACACAAACACACACACACACTTATAATTTGAGTGCGAAAATTCACCACTAATGCATGACAATAATTGTATTTGTAATCGTAATTGTTAACATGTGTATTAATGTTTAGCTAAACATTAATACACATGTTGTTTACTGCAGTACAGAGTACACATTGTATGAACAAATGTTACATTGAAGCTAAAAGTTATCTCCTCCACTGACACAACACCCGGTATACGGTGCCAGTATACACATCTTTCTACACATAGAGCTAACATTATAATACACAGTCCAGACCCACCTCTCTGTCCAGGTATCGAATGAGAAAGTCGAGGAGAAACGACTTCCCCTTGCGGAAGGCCCCGGCGACAGAGATGACGACCACTTTCCTATCTCGGACCTCATCCGAGAGGAGGATATCCTCCAGAGCCTCGTGGTCCAGCTCAAATGTGTGGTCCAGCTTGGCCACTACAATCTGTGAGATAGTTGAGGGCGGGGGGAGAGGGAGGGGGAGAGGGAAGAGGGAAGGAGAGGAGAGGAAATGAAAGATGAAAGATGGATCGCAGAGTGAGCAAATGCAGGGGGAGGACATCTGCACACAGGAAGAGGATTTGCTATTGTGAAAACTGCACACGCGGCACAAAGACACTCGTGCTAATTAGAGCTGAGCGTACAAAGGTCACTGTAGAGCTTCACGTGTATACCTGGACTGGTTTTGGGCGGTCATCGTCGGGGGGAACTTCAGTTAGCGAGCTCAGCGCACTGTCCGGAGAGTCTGTGGTACGCGCGATGGTCACAAAGTTCGAAGCTGGCACGTGAATGCGTTATAGACTTACCCGCCCCACTGCTTGCTGCTTCCCCCCCGTCTCCTCCTGACGTCTTCCACGCTCATAGTGAAGCACTAAGAACTAAAACAGTGTGCAGTCTCTATACGGCCTCTCACTCGCGGTCGAGAACCACTTTTTGTTCTGCAAAAACTTCAAAACTGCAGCGGTGGCGGCCCCTCGTTAGATGTCACATGACAGCCATGTGTACACACGTGACGTCGTAGCGTGTACTTTGATCCCCCCCTATACGGCCCGGACTTTCTGACTGCTTCTGGCTTCTTGTGTGCAGGTCTAGGCTGCGGAGACAGAATAGAGTTGCGTGTCCAATCTCAGACCAGCTATGTCGGAGTCCTACGGTCAGTTATACACGCGGCCCTGACCCTCGATCATAGTCGCGGATGCACGCACATCCAATTAACTAACATGGAGTATATATACGTGGTCATGTGCCTGTGACTTATTGTGGGGGCGCGTGGTCTACTCAGAGGTGCTTCAGATGCAAGCAAATGCCTCTCTATGTTTGCTAATCATCCTTCCCTTGCACAGACTACCTCTTCAAGTTTCTGGTGATTGGAAATGCTGGAGTCGGCAAGTCCTGCCTCCTCCACCAGTTCATCGAACAGAAATGTAAGTTCCCCACCACTCTTATTAGTGCCCACTCTGAGAGTGGGTCTGGGTGAGCTCAGTAGCTATATTAGGGTTGTGGAAGCAATTATGTATGGTGGAAGTGTACAGCAGGGGCACTGCAGTAAACCCACTCACCACTGGTGGTGTGTCAATTAGTTACCTAACACTGACTGTGTACTGTGACATTGAGTGTATCTTTTGACTCCCTCCTCTGTGTGAACACGCAGCGTCAATAGCTCACCGGATGATGTGTTACTGGTTATATATCCTTAGTCGCCTCTCTTCTCTTGAGCTATGTTATATCTGTAATGGGCAAGTGAATGTTGTGCAGTGGATGTAAAGAGGTGTGGCCAACATTAAGTTGGCTGCAGTTCTGAGAGTATTTTAGTTGGCTGAGGGTCTATTATGTGCTTGTATGAATTTGCCTGAAACAGGTAGCTTGGTATCCACTATCTCTCTCTTCTCTTTCTCCCCAGTTAAGCAAGACTCCAACCACACAATAGGGGTGGAGTTTGGTTCAAAGGTGGTGAACATCATCCAGAAGTCAGTGAAACTTCAAGTCTGGGACACGGCCGGCCAGGAGCGGTTCCGCTCAGTGACTCGCAGCTACTACCGTGGTGCCGCCGGTGCCCTGCTCGTCTATGACATATCGAGGTGCATGTGCCTGTCTACATTCTCTTTGTCTTTCTCTTTCTACGTCTTCCCTTCCTCCTCCCTTTCTCTTTCCCTCTCATTTCTCTCCCTCTCTCCTTCCTTCATCTTCTTTCATCCATCCTCCTTCCGTCTCTCCTCCACTTTCTATCATACCTACGTACCCACCTTGCAGTCGAGAGACGTACAATGCCCTCACCAACTGGCTGACTGACGCCAGAACGCTGGCCAGCCCCAACATTGTCATTGTGTTGGTGGGGAACAAGAAGGACCTGGAGGCCGACAGGGAAGTCACTTTCATGGAGGCTTCCAGATTTGCCCATGAAAATGGTGAGGGGAGACCCCTTGCATTACCATGGGATTAGCTCATGATCCAAGTGGGTTGATATAGTACCTGAACTCATATAGACCTAGTAAGAAAGGTGTGAGTACATGCTGCATGTGTGTGTGCGTGTGTGTATGTGTGTGATGTTGTGTATATTATACTGCTGCAGAGTTGTCATTTCTGGAGACGAGTGCCCTGACGGGAGAGAATGTGGAGGAGGTGTTTCTCAAGTGTACCAGATCTATTCTCTCAAAGATCGATGCTGGTCAGCGTCAAAGTAGTATATATAATTGAAATGATAATCTCTTGTGGCAAAGGGCCAAGTTGGAAGTCTCTTGCAGCATTATTAACACCTTATGATATATATTCTCTAAAATAACAAGGTTCCCCATATTTATTTATGCTCCGGTTTGATTTTTGCCGCATAGTAATGTTAATCCTGTGTGTGTACAGGGGAGCTGGATCCTGACAGAGTTGGCTCAGGGATCCAATACGGCAATGCCCAACTTCGCAGAGTCACGCCGCAGCAGCAGAGTGGGACTAGTGAAAAGAAGAAGTGCTGCTAATATTAATATCTTATTATAGTTGTAAGATGTTATGTATGTTGCGCCACTTTTTCAGTTCCCCAGAAAATTTACGACAATAATTATTGTGTTGTATATTATGTGTACAGTATTTTGGGATTATTGTGTTGTAAATTTTTGTGCATACTAGATTATAATCACATGGAAAATGTCAAAACTGCAACAATAGTCTTGCTGATTTGCAGCTAATAGTACAGAAAAGTCTGTATGCTATGGGCCAGTGCAGTGATTTTGACGGCTCGTTTGCTGCTCCCGAGGATGTCCAACAGCTTGAATGTGATTGGCTGGTCTCCTGTGTTCATGACTATCACCACCACCTGCTTGTCGGGAGTCAGGAAAGCTACTGCCTCCAGAGAAGAGCCTGATACCACATTGGACACTCTCACAGAGCCACGGGGAACAAACTTGCTGCATGGAAGAATAATGATCCATATGCCTCGCTCTGAGTCAAATGCACATGATTGGTGATTGTTCATCATGCAAGTTAGTGTAGTTGTGTCAGGAACAATATCCCTGCCTTATCCTCTACCTGATTTGTCCAACATAGTAGTAGAACACTTGTGGATAGACAAGCTGGTTTGCCGCATCAGCCAACATCATTGAGTCCGAGCCACACAAGTCGGATCCTTCACACTCATCGGGACCTTTGTGATTCGGACCACCCAACATGTCCAGTATCAGGTTCCAGTCAATGAAACCAACCACCCAGTTGTTCATGTCCCCCATTATGTCGTGGGCATAGTGCTCCCCTTTGCCCCAGTCTGGGTTCTTTGGATCAGATTCTCTGACTTCAGTAGCCTCCGAGGCAAGGATTGGCTTATCCGGGAAGAGGTAGTGGGTGGTGTTGAGGTTCGGGAAGTCATCTCCTGTATACCAGTGCACAGCAGTACCCCATACATACTGAGCTGCTTCATTGTCAGAGTAGACGGTCTGGGCCCATTCCACAACATGGTCTTTGTTGTGATCATAGATGAGAATGTTCAGATCGGGATGATCTCTCTTCAGCTGAGGTCCCAAGTACGTCTTGATGTAGTCTCTCTCAGTCTCGGGGCTCCAGTTCATTCCCTCGTAGGTCGGCGGACAATACTCGGGCTCATTTTGGACAGTTATGCCCCAGATCTTTATTCCCTCAGCTTCATACGCCGTGACAAACTTTGAGAAATAGAGTGCCCACGAGACCTTGGAGGCGTCGTTGAGGTAACAGTTGGAGCATCCCTGGGGACAGTAGGGGTTGCTGTTGGCCTTCATCCACCCTGGGGGGCTCCATGGGGAGCCGAGGATGTTGAGAGAGTCATTTGTCCACTGCTGTCGCACAGCCAGAGCTCTCTTGATCAACGGGATTATCCTCTCTCTGTCGTGGTCGATGCTAAAGTGTGTGAGGTTCACATCGCCACTGATATTGTCATAGTTGTAGTTCTCTAGAGAGAAGTCGCATGAGCCGATGGGCAGTCGAGCCATGTTGTACCTGAGTCCAGACTCGGAGAAGTACATGTCCAGGACTTGAGTCTGCAGTGTAGAGTTGAGCTTCGAGAAGACGAATGATGCAGAGTCCGTGAAGGCCCCGCCGAATCCCAGCACTGTCTGGTACGTCATGGACCTGAATAACATATTGAAATGTGCCCAATAAGAATATGCTAACCTGTTGATGGTGACGGCGATGTTGCTGGCGAAATCGTCTCCGAACGAGACGCTTGGCTGCGCAGTTATCCTGTCAGTTGTACCCTGCGCTGTTCGGTACCATTCCATGGTCGCTGCGTGCGAAAGCTGCGTCGATACCGTCAGAACCACTGCGAAGAGAACAGCGACTCGTCCTGAAGACATTATCCTACGGTCCGGTCGCGGTGCGGTACTCTATACCCCGGTGACTGCGCATGCGCATTAAACCCTTCTCCATTGGCAATGGAGCGCTTTTCTTTGCAGACGGTAAAGAAACTACTGAATGGCCGTACTCTTCCGGTCCTAGGGCTTGGGACTTACCGCGTGGCACGCGAGGCTGTCCGAGCATCTCTAGACCGAGGGTATAGGCTCATTGATACGGCCTCGTGTTACGAGTAAGCTGCCCCTTCGTCATTTTCACTTTGATACCGCTTTCAAACAAATCAAAGTAACGAGGAGGAGGTAGGACAGGAGGTAAAGAAGTCTGGAATTCCCAGAGAAGAGATCTTTGTCGTTACAAAAGTGAGCCGCAGGCAACACACACAACTCACCCCACACCTCTCGTCATAATATTTTCCATCACTCCATCTCTCAATATAGTTGTGGAACGATGAGCATGGAAAGGAGGCCGCAGTTCCGGCTCTGAAAAACAGTCTCAAAAGGCATGATGCGCATGACTTGTCATGAGTGTATCTCAATGTATGTCTATATGGGCAGGTTGGATATGGACTATGTGGATCTCTATCTGATGCATTCACCAGAAGGAGGGAAGGTGCTTGAGACCTGGGACACCATGATTCAGTTGAAGGAACAAGGCCTTACAAGGCAAATGTTCATTCAGACTCATAATTTTTTTCAGCCATCTTTTGCTACTATAATGGCTGGTTTAGGACTATTGGAGTTGCCAATTTCAATGCAAGTCACCTGAAACACCTCAAAGAGGCCCGACCTGGCCACGTGCCAGTAGGTAATGATGAATTTTTCACTAATGATACCTGAGAGGAATTTAGTAGTGTTTGTGTCGGTGTAAATAGTGAACCAGATAGAGATACACCCGTTCCTGGCCTGGGATGAGTGTGTGTCATACTGCGAGGAGGAGGGTATTGCAGTCATGGCCTACTCTCCTCTGACAAAAGGCAGGAAGCTCAGAGACCCCTCTCTCTGCAAGATCGCTGAAAAGTACAGCAGCTCATTCTGTTACACAGTCTCAGCTCTCTTTTTTTGCATAATGTGAAGGTACGGGAAGACAGCTGCGCAGGTGATGATACGGTGGAGTCTTCAACGAGGATTCATCTGCATTCCTAAATCAAGCAGCGGAGAGAGAATTGCAGAGAATGCTAATATTTTTGATTTCGACATCTCTGATCAAGATATGAAGATTTTGGTATATAGCCACAAAAGTGGGCGATTATTTTTTGTGACATTTAATTTCTGCAGAATGGTTTGGATGAGCATCTAATCACTGACTGGCCGGGAATAATGAATACCCCCTGGGAACCGTAACATAATTGGCATGGCGAGCTACTATTGATGATTCACTGGAATGTTTACCATGCGCATGCGTGAACCATAAGTAATGTGGGCGCGCGCGCTCACAGCAGCAAAGCTAACATGGCGATCCTGCGAGCCCTGACTTCGCGATTGCCTCTGAGAGACAGCGGCCACATCCCCGTGCTGGGACTGGGAGTGTATCTTGCGGAGGCGGACGGGGAGACGGAGCAGGCCTGTCTGTGGGCCTTGAAGCATGGCTACAGACACATTGACACCGCTCAGTTTTACAGGTACTGCCTAGCTGCAGTGTTTGTGGTGGATCCTCTATTACCTAGGGTGTCTCCTCGCCTGCAGGAACGAGAAGGATGTAGGGAATGCAATTCGAAAATCTGGAATTCCAAGGGAGGAGATTTTTGTGACAACAAAAGTAGCACAGCTAACACCGGCTGATGTTATCATTCTGTGTTTGAGCCTATTTTTGACTGGTTGCAGGTTTGGAATTCGTCTCACGGAAAAGAAAATACCGTCAAGGCGCTGAACGACAGCCTAAAACTGTAAAAGATAGAGATGAATACGTTTTGCAATTGATGGACTTGTGTATATATCCTCCAATAGACTAGGTCTGGAGTATGTAGACCTGTACCTGATGCACTCTCCACTGGGAGGTAAGGTTGTGGAGACATGGGAAACTATGGTACAGCTCCAGAAACAAGGCCTAGTAAAGTGAGCACATTACAGCTTTATAATAGAGTTCGACAAGCTGAGCTTTTAACAGGTCCATTGGTGTGTCAAACTTCAATGTCCATCACTTGGAGGGTCTGAAGAAAGCATGTCCTGACCACATTCCTTCTGGTATGATATATACTACCTATGTATACCACTCTGTGAGTCAGCTAATAATTTAATTTTGACCTGCAGTAAATCAGTTTGAGCTCCACCCTTTCCTGGACAGAGAAGATGTCATATCATACTGCCAGAGAGAGGGCATTATTGTGGAGTCCTATTCTCCCATCACTAAGGGGAAGAAGCTCGGAGATCCAACACTAGTCAAAATTGCCAAAAAGTTGGGTTTTCTGATGAAGCACAGCTTCAATGCATGTGTCTGCCACAGGTATAACAAGACGGCGGCTCAGGTGCTGATTCGCTGGTGTTTGGATCGCAACTTTGTCGTCATACCCAAGTCGGTCCGTGAACAGAGAATCGTTGAAAATGCTGACGTCTTTGACTTCCAACTCTCACCAGAAGACCTCCAGTCAATGGTATATACAGGGCAGGCACACCTAGAGTAACTATTTACTGTAGTATATACTTGTGTGTGTGTACCATGATACTATGCAGAGTGGATTGAAGAGTGAAGAATTAGTTCTGGGATGGAACCCACTAGCCTCGCCTTGGGAGCCATGACATTTTGGTGACACCTTATGAAAACATGACTGAGTATATGAATGTGCTTTATAAAACAAAGTTTGTATATAAGTGATCGTGGAAGTCAGTACTGGTGATGTGAATGAAACTCTTTACAACTGGGCGTCTCATCTACATGGACCTCTGCCATTCCCCAGTGCACTTGCCAATTTTTCGCTGCAAAAGGTGAAAAGTGCCAAAACTCCAATCAATAAATCGGTGTGAGATGCCAGCAATGAATGCCAATACAATAGCCTAAACACTTACTTCTCACTCTTGATGTCCTCTAGATTTCTCTGTAGGACATCTAGGAGCTGGTTCCTCTCATCCAATATCACTGTGATTCCAAAACATTTTTTCAAAAGATCGAGGCATCGTGATACATTTTGATCAAGGTGATTGAGATACCTTTGCGAGAGTTGATTTTGTCCCTGAGGGCTTCGTGGTTCAACTGCAAGAAAATAAACTGTGTTAGCATGTGAAACGTTCGAATGAGGACGTTTACCTTGCAGTGGTGGATTTCCTGTACTAACTGGTCCAGTACCGCACGTCGCCGGCCGTCCGTCTTGCGCTCAGAGCCATGTGGGGAGCCTCCTTTTGGTATATTATCGTCTCTCGCTGTGGTGACGTCTCGTTCAACCGTCACCTGTTTAAAAGCTCTACTGTTCACAGCGACACTGTCCCGCGGAATCGCAGCGACAGACATCACCACTGACGTGTTTTCAAACGGCGTGCAGGTAGGTTCAGAGGTCATCTATGAACGGATTGGGCATGCGTTGATCCGTTTGTATACTCCCACGCGTAATTATAACGTTCGGAGCATGCGTAAGCGGAGGGCGGAAGAAAGCCTGAGGTTCAGTGGCAAAGCAGGGCACACAGTCTAATCAGCTGTGATAGTTGTGTGTGCACCGCTTCGTAGGACAATAGCTATTTTGTCTGGATGTTTTTTAAATTGCTGAACCCCTTAATCAAAGGTTGTTATTAGAGAGTGTGTATGGTGGTCACAGTATGTACGGCAGCTCTCACACAATAATAAATGAAACACTACAATCTACAGTTGAGATGTTTGGACAACTCTATCAGGCACTATCTCCGACAGCGAGTCGACATCCTGAGAAATGGATACTACAAGTCACACCCTGAAATAATTATATATATAAAACTTCACCTGAAAACATCATGGCCAGTTTTAGCTCGTCCTTGAGAATTTTCAACACGCAGTAAACACCTTCATATCCCTAAATCAAAACGCATCCCTCGTTATTCTTGTCAAAACTCACAAAGAACCTTGTGGGTGAGTCCCCAGAGGACTGGTCGTCCAATGAAGACAGCTCTAGCTCCCAGTGCGAGAGCCTTGAACGCGTCCGTTCCCAGCCTCACTCCTCCGTCCATGTACACCTCCACGCGACCCCTCACTGCCTCCACCACTTCCCTCAATACATCCAACTATGGAGAAAAAGAGTATTGCACATTATGCTAGGAGGTTTTTACATACAGTAGCGACGTCAGTGTTGAGCTGTCTTCCACCGTGGTTAGACAGAAGTATTGCTGCCACTCCACTCCGTATTGCCAGCTCAACGCCCTCAGCTCTCAGGAGTCCCTTCACCACCACAGGCAGGCTGGTGAAGGAACACAACCAGCGAATGTCGTCCCAGGTAGCAGCCGGGTTGAACGCCTTCTCAACCAATTCCACGCTCTTTTCCCTGTCGTCGCAGTTTGGATAGTTGGCAAATTTCATGTGGGGCGGTAAGTCCCAATCGTTTTTTAGCAATTCCATTTTCAACGGTAGCACACGGAGAGTCTATTGTGACGACAATCGCCTTGACTCCAGCTAGTTCAGCCCGACGAACAAACCCCTCTGTTAGAGAGCGATCAGTGGAGAGGTACATCTGTTGCCAGCGAAGCCCACCCCTGCTTGCCTCGGCAACCTCGTCCATGGATTTAGTGGCAAAGATACTAGAAATCATCACTGTTCCCATTGCCGAGCACGCTATAGGTGTGTTGTGTGTGAAGGTGCATGGAGAGTGTCCACCAAGTGTTTTATGAGTTTGCCCTCACCTCTGGCTGTGGCAAGCTCACCATCTGGATGTGCCAGACAGTGGAATGCGGTGGGTGAGGCTCCAACTGGAAAATCCACATGCTCCCCCAGCAGACTTGTTCTCATGTCAATGTGGGACACATCTCTTAGGACTCTTGGCCTCAATCTACACCTGTGTGTTGCTCCACTTACAGGTGTGTGCAATGATCAGTACTTTATAGCTACATACCTACGAAATGCCTCCTTGTTCCACTGAACGGTATAGTTATCATAAGAACCTGTATTGTAGAAGCCCAGGTTGGCCTTACTGAGCGTTTTCTCCGCATGCTCCTCGAAATCAGCAATGCATAGCATGACTTGTAGCTCGCTATTCCATGTGGTAGCCCCGCCCCTACACCGGATTTCCTTTGACGCCGGTAAAAAGAACGGGGCTTGCGGGGGACTCGCTAACTCGGCTCTGCACCACGGACAGGGCCATTTCACCGCTCTCCCACGTCGTTTCAGCTAGTCCCGAGCTCAGAAGAAGACACTTCCCAACCATGGCGACGCCGCAGAGCCCCAGCTACCGCAAGAAGCAGATCTCCATGCGAAACATTCCCCAGCTGGAGAACGTGGCAGCTGTCAAGGCGTCCTTCAACCGGCACCTTCACCAAACCCTGGTCAAGGACCGCCACGTGGCCACTCACAACGACTTCTACAAGTCCACGGCCTTCACGGTTCGCGACCAGCTCGTGGGGAAATGGGTGCGCACCCAGCAGCACTACTACGACCGAGACCCCAAGGTAAAGAGGGAATCTCAGCTGTTTATCTGGTAAAGGTGACCTGGCCTTATCAGCAAGTGTTTCCCCCCCATTTCCAGCGTGTTTACTACATGTCTATGGAGTTTCTCATGGGTCGCTCGCTCACCAACGCCATGGTCAATCTTGGCGTGGACTCTGAAGTAGAAGAGGCTCTGTACGAGGTAAGCAGCAACATGCAGATTTAATTTCCTTCCCAGCCCTCAGAAGATTGTGTGTGTGTATGGCTGTAGGAAGCATGACGTGCATGTGCTTGCACATGGTCTCCTGATAGCTTTAGAGTGCGTGTAAATTTGACCCTGCTGTAATGTATGTGTCTGTCTACTGTAGCTGGGGTTGGAGTTGGAGGATCTGCAAGAGGAGGAAGACGACGCAGGTCTGGGTAACGGTGGGCTGGGTCGACTGGCTGCCTGCTTCCTCGACTCGATGGCCACACTTTCTCTCCCGGCCTACGGCTACGGCCTCCGCTACGAGTACGGGATATTCTCTCAGACTGTCGTCGACGGACACCAGGTTAAATCCCTCTTCTGCGTCTGTGTGAAAAGATTAATGAACCCTTTGCAGTAGGTCGTAGATTTGCCTGGAAACTCTAAAGATGTATGATAATTATACACCTTTGGAGAATTTCCAGACATAGGCATAGAATGTTACTATATAAAATTCTATGCAGTTTGTGTGTGTGAAAAACTGTCCAAGAGATCCTTATGCAGTAGCGTTAGAATACTCTGTGCACGGACCTTTTATGAAATATAATACTGCCGTAGCAAAACCACTGTGTGCCATTTCCAATTTGGTATAATTATACTTTGTACAGGTTGAGAGACCGGACGAGTGGCTGAGGTTCGGGACCTGCTGGGAGCTCTCTCGACCAGAGTACCAAGTCCCCATCCATTTCTACGGCCGAGCAGAGATGGACGGGTGGAAGGACACGCAGGTAGTGATGGCCATGCCCTACGACTACCCAATCCCGGGCTACGGGAACTCCACTGTCAACACCATGAGACTCTGGTCCGCCAAGTCTCCCAACAGCTTTGACTTATCTTACTGTGAGTCCAGAGAGGGAGAGGGAGAGAGAGAGAGAGAAAGAAAAAGCTGAGAGACTACTATACTAGGTTCAGTGTTTTGAACTCTCTGTGGTGGTTTGAGAGACTACTATACTAGGTTCAGTGTTTTGAACTCTCTGTGTGGTTCTACTCCTAACACTTACACATCTCTCTCTTCTCTCCCCCTCTCCAGTCAATCACGGGAACTACATACGGGCCGTGCTTGATCGCAACTTGGCTGAGAACATCACTCGCGTCCTCTACCCAAATGACAACGTGAGACTCCGATGTCATTCTATGCATGCACACACCGCTCTCACTCTCACCTCTTGTCGGCCGTAGAAAATGGAGGGGAAGGAGCTGCGACTGAAGCAGGAGTACTTTCTCTGCTCCGCCACCCTCCAAGACATCGTCCGTCGATTCAAGACCTTTAGGTCTCGAATGGGAGGCAAGGCTCGCGCCGGTTTTAAAGATTTCTCCAAAAAGGTGTGCATATATACGGCTGAGTTTTGTTTCAGGGCTGCAACAGAGTTGCAGTTGGCTTCATGTAATGAGCGACTTACTCTTCTGTTAGTGGGGAAACCTCAGCAGGGGTAATGTGGCCCTACTTTACTTTGCTCAGACAGCCCTGGCCATTTCCTGTGTAAGGGGAAGTGGATGGAGGCTGTAGAGTGTGGCTACTCAGATTCCCTGCCTCTTTTGTGCGTGGTTTCCTCTGTGGAAACTCGATCCTGTTGGCCTTGTCTCCCGTTTTAGCCCTTCTTTCACCACTTGTGTTGTTTGTGTGCATTACTCTTGTTTGCGTAACAGGTTGTGTCTGTCTGTTGTACCAAATTAATCCTTGTGGTCTCCCACACACACACACGCACACACAGGTTGCCATTCAGTTGAACGACACTCACCCAGCCCTGGCCATAGCTGAGTTGATGCATATCCTGGTGGACCTGGAGAAGCTGGGCTGGGAGGAGGCGTGGGCCGTCTGCACAGGGACCTTTGCCTACACCAACCACACCCTCCTACCCGAGGCCCTCGAGAGATGGCCAATCTCCATGATTGAGAGGGTTCTCCCCCGTCACCTTCAGATCATCTACGAGATCAACGCTCGCCACTTGAAGGTCGACTTTTTGTTCTGTCTCAGTTTTCATATGCTCAAAACGTCCCTTTTCAACTATATTGGGCTTCTCTACCACCAACCATCTAATCCGGGCACCAATATAACAAAGTGTCCTTTACACAAGTGAGGTTTTCATGGGTTAAAAAAACGTGTTCTTGGGGAAAGAAAGTGTGTCATTTTAATGAACTCTTCATGTCATGGGGTGTCACATCTGACGTTTGACCCACCTTTTCCTCTCCGTGTGTTGCATGCTGCTCCCAGGAGGTGGAGGCAAGGTTCCCGGGAGAGGTGGCTCGCATCGGTCGCATGTCCATCGTGGAAGAGTTCCCGGAGAAGAGACTCAACATGGCCTACCTGGCCATCATCGGCTCTCACGCTGTCAACGGAGTGGCCGCCATACACTCTGCCATTATCAAGAGATCCATGTACGTACGCTTGTTTTATATTAGTTTTTGCCAATCTGACTTCTGCTTTAATCCTTGATTTTTGACCTGGTATGTTACGTGAGTGGTCAAGCATAACCTTTGAAAATTTATGTTTTGCTTTTTTTATATATACTGTGAGTACATTCACTGATGAGGGGGATAAATACACTGTTCCAACTTCTCTTCCTCTTGTGTCCAGTTTCAAGGATTTCTACGAGATGACCCCAGACAAGTTCCAGAACAAGACAAACGGAATCACTCCTCGTCGTTGGCTGAGGCTCTGCAACCCTTCCCTGGCCGACATCATTTCCAACGTACTCTCTCTCTCTCCCTCTCTCTCTCTCTCTCTCTCTCTCTCACTCCCCCATGCTGTCCCTAGTCCTCCAGTTGATAAGCCGTGACATTGCTCTCTACATCTTGTCTTACGTCTGTACCCTCCCAAATTAGCTGCTTATTAGACCACGTTAAGGCTGTGTAAAATGCCATTGTTTGATTGCTGTGTGTACATACATATGCACCTGGCTCTGTGCTGTTGCCAATTTGCTAGGGGCAATGGGTCACCATGTTACGCAAGTATCTGCAAGTGTATATACCTACGTATATATAGTATGCACTTGTTGGCTCTACTTTGCTTTAGAGAGTAGCCCTATAAATGACTTCACACATGCAAGAAGAGCCCTGTAAAACGACTTCACACATGCAAGAAGTGGACTAGATGGAAGGGTCGTACTACATATTATTGCACCCATTGGTTACTGTCTTTACATGTAGAACAGTTATAGAGTGTGCCCCTCCATTACACTCATAAATTGCCTGTGCAGGAGCTGGGAGGAGAGGCGTGGGTGAAGGACCTCTTCCTACTGAAGAAACTGCTGCCCCTTGCCAGCTCTGATGCCTTCAAGCAGAGAGTCTTCCAAGTGAAAAAGGTCAGAACCACACACACAATGGAGCCATGGGCCACTGTCTGTTTGTGTGTGTGTGTGTTAGGAGAACAAGAAGAGTTTTGCCGAGTATCTGGAGAAGACACACGGAGTGAAGGTCAACCCAGAGTCTCTGTTTGACGTCCAGGTGAAGAGGATCCACGAGTACAAGAGACAGCTGATGAACGTTCTCCACATCATCACCTTCTACAACAGTGAGACCCACTTCCCTCCTCTCTCCCCTCTGTGTGTGTGTGTGTGTGTGTGCATTCACACATTTTGGTACGCTACTTGCTACGTTACACACCACATTCCGTGAGTTTTTTGTTGTCATCGCATGGCACAATAATTGTGCGGGCCAGCTAAAATTAGTATAATTTCACAGTAAATTTATTGAAGGTCTTGAAATTTGATATTTGATATTTGCAGGGTTGAAGGCAAATCCCGACTTGCCAGTAGTTCCCAGGACCATTCTCATTGGAGGAAAAGTGAGCTTGTCCCATTTCCCTATCAGATCGTGTGTATGTTACCTACGTATGTATGTGTCTGGTGGTATGTAGGCAGCCCCAGGCTATCACGCTGCCAAGATGATCATTAAACTGATCAACTCTGTTGCTGATGGTGAGTGAATGGAGTAACTGTGTCAGTCCAGCGTGAGATGTGTATCATCTTATGCTCCCTCTCTGCCTGCGTACAGTGGTGAACAACGACCCTGACATTGGAGACGTTCTGAAGGTGGTCTTCTTGAGGAACTACAGAGTTTCTCTTGCCGAGAAAGGTGAGGCCGTCACACCCACAAACAATTTCCCAGTGCTAACTCATCATTCTGCCTCCTTTCCTACAGTCATCCCAGCCACTGACCTATCTGAACAGGTACACACACACACACATAGAGGTTATACCTTACCATGTAGAGCATGTTGAAGAAGCGGAGAGATATCGCCCTAGTCTGGAGAGTATTCCATTGTACCAGTGTGACCAACGATGTTCCATTTCAGATCTCGATGGCTGGAACTGAGGCTTCAGGTACTGGCAACATGAAATTCATGGTGAGCCCCTCACTCCACCTCCCCTCACTACTTCCCTCACTAATACACATGTACACTGCCAGCAAAATTCAGTATAGTCATTAACTTTTGCCCCAAATGGACCAGAATTATCTCGGTGGAAAATTTGACCATAATATTTTGTGCGTATATGTCCTCAAGATCTGCTATGACTGCCAATCTGCCACAATCATAACGTGAGTGTTCTTGCCCTGCATCACTGCAGGCCAACGGAGCACTGACCATAGGGACACTGGACGGAGCCAATGTCGAGATGAGGGACGAGGTCGGGGACAAAAACATCTTCATATTCGGCATGACCGTCCCTGAGGTGGAGAAACTGAAGGCAGAAGGGTGAGCCACCTGAGTTTTTTTATCGATCCTTCTGCCTATGTTTTCATGTGCAACTATATATTGGTGCTTGCTGTGTACACTACACCCCCTCTCTGTTATTACTGTGTTTTAGAGATTTTTATAAAACATTCCGTATGGAGTTTAACCCTCGGCTCTCTGTTGTTCTTGCTGTAGGTACAACCCTCGCCAGTACTATGAGAGTAACCCAGAGCTGAAGAAGGCCATCGATCAGATCCACGAGGGTTTCTTCTGCCCCGAGGAGCCGGCACTTTTCCACGGACTCACCGATCACCTTCTTTCCCACGACACGTGAGAGGAAAACCACTCAATGTGACCAGTGTGGATATCTTTCAGCAACCTTCGCTAGCCATGTGTAATTCTAGAGTCTCGCCGTACCGTTGCATTGCTTTCATATTCACCACCTGTTGTAGCTGGTGACTTTATGTATACAAAAGGTTTCCTCTTTCCGTTACTTGCTCCCGTACACACAGGTACTGCCTACTGGCCGACTATGAAGCGTACATGAAGGCCCAGGAGAGAGTTACCCAAGTGTATATGGTATGTCAGAACTCGATCAGCAAGGGTGTGAAGTTACAAGTCACATTCTATCACTAGTGTATATATGTACATGTTCACGTTGCTTTTGCACCCCCCCTCCCTGCAGGACCGGAAGCGCTGGCTGACCATGGTGGTCCACAACATAGCCAAGTGTGGCAAGTTCTCCAGTGACCGCACCATCCAGGAGTACGCCCACGACATCTGGGGAGCCAAAGCATGTGTTGTTCCGAATGACACCCAGAAGAAGGCAATTGAGTGAGCTTTTGTCCATACTAACGTATAGGGTTTTACCCCCTCTCTCTCTCGTTTCTCTCCACAGCAAATTTTGATCGCAGTCGACACAGAACACACACTGTTCGATCGGAACTTGTATGTGGGCAGTGCCAGATATCAAACTTTAACCCCTAGACGCAATATGCGTGTAATAATCATTATCTGCCACATTGATAATTATCATAATTAATCTACAGCACAGAAACAAGTTCAGTACAACAGCATGTTACGTGTGCATAACAGATGTTTGCCAAGTATGAGGAGAGAGCGAGGAAAGAGACGACAGGTTGCAAGGCTAGACTGCAGAATGACTATAGTTAGCCTCAGAAGAACTCCAGGGGTTGCCCCCTTTGAGAGTACCTCGTCAGGTCAGCCACCATAACAGCCAAACCCCACCACCCTGCACCTACGGCAGTAGACGGTATAATGGTTTTAAAAAAGAGTAAGACCCTCATTAGAGCTTACCTCCCTCCCTCTCTCTCCTCTGGACGGCCTTGCACTACTCTCCTATAGCAGCGCGAATGGCATCGACAATCTTTTTCAGTTTAGCTTCACTGTCCACAAAGCCTTCGCCTCCCTGTAAGCATAATTCTCTGTAATATAAATTACAGTATATCGAGCCAAAGTATAATAGGTGTGGGGCATGTTTACAGTGTAGTACATAGTGCTACTACAACTTCTCTCCCACAGTGGGTGGTCATGCAATGTAATCACCCCATAATCTATAGTGTGTTATTACAGGGTATAATAGTATAGTATAGAGGCCCAACTGAATTTAGAAGATACTGTGGATACTTTCCTTCGCGTGATGGGGTGTGGCGGGACAGACCAGCTCTATACACCAGGTGTCTATAGGCCTATTAAGAACGCGAGAGTGGCTTTTCCGTGTCAACGTACCTTCTTGGAGTGAACGAGTTTTCCAGCCACTGTCACCTCAAAGGACCCCGTTATCCCTTTAGTAGACTCCCCCAACTAGACATTATACAGCAGGAGCATAAACAATACGTGTCTGGTGTTGAATGACTCACTCACCACAGCAATCTTGTCACCAAACTCGTCAGACAGCTCCTCTTGGACCCGTCTGTACTGCAGGCAAGACGAGAACACTACTATTTTAGGGATCAGCCACGCTTGTACAGTCTACTTACCTTGGCAGCGTACCCTCATCCACCACTGAATTGAAGAAATTGCGGAGAGGGGGGAAGACACAAGGAAATATGAAATGCAGGATCATGCTTCACGTTTGGAGGTCACTCACCAGTAGACGATCTTCACTTCGCAAGCCATTCTCTTCTGGTAGAGACTATAGGACCTCCGCTATTTAGAACAACCTGCCCGAACGAAAACTGAACAGGTCGCGGCGCGAGGTCACGGGGTTTTGTCGCGTTTGGTTCATATTTGCGCATGCGTAGGGCGCGGCATGCGGCAGCTGCTGCATGCTAGATCGATCGACCGGTCGACCTTACGCGCCGCTCTCTGTGTGTCGCCTTTGCCTGGCTCATCTACAGCGGCCCAGTCCATCTCTGCAACCTACCTCGCTTCTGTATCTACAGAGGTGCCTTGGTGAACACCTCTATGCTGTAGGTGTGGCACCAGAAAACGGCTGGGCGGTTGCGGTTTTCGGGATGTGCCCCTGCAGCAGCCGCCTTCCTCCTCCCGGTGTGATTGTTGCCTGATTAGAGAGACATGGTCAAAAACAAGGGATCTCGTGTGTTCCACTGCACTATGGTCTTCCCGCTCGCCCTACTCTGCTTTCTGGCCATCATCTCGTTCGGGAGCTTCACCAGCGAGCACGTCAAGATACGGAACAAGAAGATACGGACCTCGGACATGGACAACCGCCCGCGCGGCGTGTCCGCGGAACGAGAGAGCCCGCACTATTGCATCCTGTTCACGCGCTCCGTGGGGAAGGGAAGGAACCTGGTGGAGCTGAGCGAGAGCCACACCTGTTCGTTTGCCATCTGGGGCGGCCTCTCCGTCTTTTTCCTGTCGCTTTTTCTGGGCATTGTGTTTGCTGCTAAGGCTCTCTATGGAGTGAATGTGTGAGTCACTTTGCCGCTGGTTATTGTATAATAGCGAACCCACTTGTCGTTGAGCGGCTCTGTTGCCATATACCTGAAGTGGGGATTTCGTGGCTGACCACAAACCAGATTGTGAAACACCCCATGGGATGGTTTTATGAATGGTTTTGATTTGATTACATAGCCACTACACTGACGGCATTGATGATGAACCGGTGCTCTTAGGAACACGACACAGTTGTTGTGGCTATATACATAGTGAATGGTGTGTATGGTGTGATCTACTCTGTGTCTCCTGCAGGCGCTCCTGTTTCTCTGCCGTTGAGTTGGTGGTCATTTTTCTAGCTAGTCTGCTGGATTTCTCGGTGGCGATTGTCTTGTCGGCTGGGCTGGACCATACCTGTAGTGCCTTTGGAGAGGCAGCCGGGCAGGATCAGCCGTACGTCAAAGTGCAGTTACACCTCTCAGTGATGGATAACTTTACCTTCCTCATTTGCAGGTGCTCTCTCTACCATCTCGAGTTTCCAGACAACTCTAGTGTTGCATTTTACGGGAACCTCACGACCGCCAAGGTGAGTGGAATGACTGAAACTGTTTGGCACCCATATCTCATTCACACTCCAGCCAAAATTCTACTGTTTGGCACTAGTTCTATATAGACACTTGTCCTTGTTAACCCCGCATGATAGTCAATATACAGTGCTCTAATTCTGGAATTAATAGGCTGGGGAATTAACTTGATATCTGCATATACAGTATAATTCCAGCTGAGCCTGACCTCCCATATTGCAGGCTACAGCCTGGATTGGTACAGTGATACTGGACTCACTCACAGTGGTCTATTTGGTTCTGCTCTGTTTCTACTGTCGCCGCCAATGGTGCCTTGGGAAGACTGATGAGGATCAGCAGTTCAAGCCACTTATCATGACCACTTTTGGCGAAACTCAAGTTTGATGTCATTCTTCCCAATAACCCTCAGTCGTATATATCTTCACCGATTACAATTCGCACATCGCCAGCAGTGTGTGCGCGTGTGCGTTGTGTGTGTGTGTGCGGCCACAGAAAGAGAGGAGTGCTCTCGAGCAAAACATCCTCAATTGTGACCAAAAAATTTCACTTGTTACACTTCCTTTTTCTGAAATCCCTGCGTAACCATAACAGAGGGATATCATTCAGGTAAGGTTTCCTCGTTTCCTCTTCTAAATCTGACAAGGCAGAGGCTAATTTCCTTTGCATTTCCTGTCCTGACCCTCGTCCTGATTCACACAACCCCCCCCCCCCCATTGCTGCGCATGCGCGCGCTGATTGTTCTTTAACCCTGGCTGGCTGCTGGTGGCTGCTCTCTGTGATCTCTTGTTTTTTCCCACCTGTGGGTGCGATCTAGAGACTACCTGACTGAAACATGGTGAAGAACGGTGGTTCTCGCTTCTTTTTCGGCCTCATGGTGATCCCATGCGTAATCCTGTGCTTTATATCGGTCGTCTCGTTCAGCACATTTGCCGCTGAGAACAACAAGATCAAGAGCAAAGTGCGGGCGGGAGACTCGAGCGGAGACTACTGCATCTTGTTTGCGAAGAATGAAGGCGAGTCCAAGGAAGGAGGTACGACATACCAGGACATAATACTGGGCGAGGACGGTCCGTGTTCCTTCGCCATCTGGGGGCAGGTGACGGTCTGCTTTGCGAGTATCTTGCTGGGGACTCTGTACACGGTGAAGGCTCTGGTTGGAGTGAAAGTGTAAGTCCTGCTGGCTAGCTATGTCTTGTACTCTTTTTCATAGGTATAAAACCTAGGAAAGGTCACTAGGTTCTATATCTATGGTGTTTTGTAGTTTTACTTCTCTCTCTTTGCCGTTGTTCCTTCAGGCTCTCCTGCTTTACTTTGTTTGAGACGGTTCTCCTGATAATAACTGGAATCCTGGATTTCGTGGTGGCAATAGTGATCACTGCAGGACTAGACACGACATGCCGCTCCTTTAGAGCCTCAGGATCATTGTAAGCACACTTATATAATTATTAACTACGATGCACTCCCTCCTGTTTTACGCTGCTGCCCACTATTCTCTTATTGCTGCAGATGTGGGTATACAACTCTCTATGTGAACCACAACCATAACGACAAAATCAAGTTCTACCCAAACATCAATGCTTCTAAGGTGAGCAGGAAGCCTAAAATGTGTTGGTTTTACGACACACGTCGTCTCCGTCTTCGCTCCACAGGCTACTGCTTGGATTGGGACGGTGATACTGGGTATCCTAGCCATACTGCACCTGATAATGATATGTGCCTACTTCCGCAAACTGGGCAAGCGAGAAGATCCTCCTCCGTATGAGCCCATGACAACTGAAGACGGTGACACAGAGAAAACGCCAGCAGCAGTGTAACCCCACAGCAACACAATTGAACAAGATGATAGCTTTGTTTACCCCTTATATGCGATGTGGATCACTACGCCCTCCCTTTCATAATGTGTATTATACATGTCAACGTTCCCTTTCATTCGATGTACACCTATAGACTTTGAAATGGTGGTTGAGTTTTGTGTGCGTGTGGATCTTGTACTGGGAGTAGAGTCCGCCACTGGAGGGATTGGTGTAACAGAAGAACACACGACCAATCCGAGAGTGAAGGAGCGCCATGCTGCACCTATAATTATTTATAGTGGGGATCTCCCAACAGGAAGTAGTTATCCTTACTACTCCCATTCCCTAGCCAAAAATGTGTTTATTCTAGTTGTAGGCCAGACTATGCACAATGATGGAAAATACACCATCAGTGGGGTCTAGCTAAGAGTGTAAATAATTTTTAGGGTCATGAAAGTGGCTCACATGATGCAGGGCTCAGCTGAACAGTAGGCGTCACAGCCAGTACAGAGATACTGGAGCTTGGGACGTTTGGCTGGAGGACAATCTCCTCTCTCAGTGGCCACACCTTTCTCCCCCTCCTTCTGTAGTCCCCCCTCTCTAGAAAGAGGTGGGTCCTTCTTGTCCCATGCCCCTCCACCCCGGACTGATGCCAACTGGTCCAGACAGAGCATCGTGGCATGCTTCAGTGGGTGGGAAGTGTCTGTGGTGGCCTGTGCAATCACCTGTTTCGTGTCGGGATCAACGAGAATCACACTCGAAGAGAACTCCTTGATCGAGAGAGAGATAAAGAAGATCAGGAGACATTACATCATAGGCACACAAGCGTACATCATTTCCAGAGGTTTTATGAAGAGCAAGAGCAGTCTCCATGAATTTTCTGATGTCACACAGCTCTTGTGGTGAAAACATGTCTTGTCTGAGTGCCTTTTCAAGCCTTTGTGTAGAGCTACAGAACTGACCTCTCGGTCAGAGCACAGTAATAACAACATACACTTTGTCTTCGTGGAAGTGTGTTGGCCAGGCCCCAGAGGCTCTGTTGTATTGGGTTCTGGTAATGGGCTGGAGTCGGGGTACCCACACCACGGAGGTTACCCCGAGTCCCCTCAGATGGAGGCTCTCTAGTTGAGCAGTGGATCTCTTCTGCTCATCCTCATTCTGTGACTCCAATCTACACACCAGCACCCTCGGGACTGTGACAGACATGATTTTCATTTATGATGCATACTTTCTCAGGAAATGACAAACGATTTTATAGATTAATGATGCATATAAGTGTAACTCTCTTGGGAAAACTGAGTATTATACATTGGCTCACTTTCTCCTCCCTTTACCCTCTTCAAATGATTGAACTCTGGAAGAGGATACTGCACATTCAGTTCTCTGCATTAGATACATACAATGACTGGCACAATACCGGTCCTTGATTACAGGAAAGCACCTGATAATTGACGACGTCTGTTTCTTGTCAGTAATTTCTGCACAGAGCATGGGTACTGTGGGGAGTATTTACATCGATTTTTTTAAAAATCTCCACACACCCATTATGTCACAGTACTACCTTGCTCGACATCCTCGTACACTCGATCAGCCAGCACTGCTTCCACTCTGATGGTGCTGTCTCTCTCCATTAGCGCGCTTTCTTTCATTAGCGCGTAAAGATACGCGCGTATACGAATGGTGCGCGCATGCGCGTCCTACACTAACTTTTTGGGTTCTCAATTCACATGCAATGAACGTTTATGCTGTGATAACTCTAATAGGAATGTCTGGAAAGGTAGGGTCAGACTGTTCCATTAGCAACTCAGCAGTCCCAGCCTGGAGCATAAATAAAATAGCTACTCCAGAAGAAACACAGTTTTCATACCTTGTACATGTTTTTCGTCTTCTTGTAGTACCAAATACAGACTGTGTGGTCTTCTGCAGCACTCACTATCTTGCTTTCAGTCACCTAAAGCACAAGAAAGCAAAACATTGCCTCCTGCCCTCACTTAATTATTGCCATACAACCACATCATTGATTGATTCAACTCACACTGAGGCAGGTGAGCGGTCTGGTGTGCCCAGTAAGGAAGCGAGTAAACATGCCAGTTGCAATATCCCACTCATATATCACACAGCCACTAGCATTAAAAAAAAAGGTTGCTCATAGCAAATCACTAGTTTAGCTAATGTTTGGACTATCAAACTCTTATATACCTTCCACATGCAAAAATCTTGTCTCCCTCCAGGACCATGTGAGTGAGGTAGACACCGTCCTCCAGCTGCCAGTGGGTCACCAGAGAGTCCACTCCCTCTGGGCTGGCGGGGAGCAAGGTTCGAGAGGAACGAGATATTCCCCTGGTAGTTGAGGTGTAAGGAGTGAGACTCCATAGTTTGATCCTGCCAGACTGGCATGCAGACACCAGGAGGAGTTTGGAGACCAGGAGGGAGGTGAGTGGGGTAGGATGGGGAAGACTGGCAAGGAGTTTGTATGTGGTTGGTGACCAGAGCTTCGCACACCTGAGCCAATAACCATGCAGTTGTAAAACAACCGATATGAGATTTATGTGCAGCTATTCTCTACCTATCGTGTCCTCCACTTGCAATGATTGAGCCATCAAATGCTAAACACGTCACTGGTCCTGAAACAAAGAGACCAAAATTAAAATGTCCCCACAAGAGAGCCACACACCATTGTGCGCCTGTGAAATGACAGCGATACATTCCCATGTGGATGTGCTCCAGACACGCAGACTCTTGTCAAGAGATCCAGTGACTCTATTATACAATAGCAAAAACACTTCCGATAGTTTAAGAAGTAAAGACTCACAGCTTTTCGTCGCAGAACTGCAGGCAAGAGACACAGCCAGTGTGTCCCGCTAGTTCCTGAATCACTGAGCCATGAACGACATCCCATACCTGTAGATTACTAGCTGTACAGTTTATCTGATAGTATTTCAAGGTTTTCTCACTATGCAAGTAGAGTCCCAAGATCCCGAGACAATCTTATTTTCATCGAACTGCAAGCACTGGACACTGCCCTTGTGTCCCGTGAGTGTGCTCACATGTCGCCCCGAGCGAATGTCAAAGATGCTACAAAGTCCAGAGTCAAATGGCAACAAGTTTTGTGCACTGGATAACTAACTCTATTTCTCTGTTCTGAGTTCCACACACAATTTTCTTCTGGTCACACTGCAGACAGAGTACTGTTGAGTACAGAGGCTATATATAGAAAGAGAAAAGACAAACTCGTTTAAACCAATGTCTCTCTCACTGCACTGATTTTACTGCTCACTGGGAGTCTCCTGAGTCTCGGAATTGGTGCTGTTTTCCCGGGTTTGTGTGGCTGGTCGGCCAGCAGACATCCAGCCAACACTAGACACCTAACACCATCAGGATTGGGCTGTAGAGTGTGCAACAGTGGGGAAGGAAAACTTCCCTTGAGGCACTATACCCTTTTCACTACTGTATCATACCAGGTAGCGGAGGCCAGAGCGACGGTCCTGTGCTTCTTGTATGAGGTCGATGATGTCCGGTGAAGTTGATCTGTGTGGGTGGTGGACTGATCTGCGGGACTCCTCTTCTGCTACAATAAGACCCTCCATCCTAATATCAGAACACATTGGCGTCACTTATTATTATTCACTATGCATTTGGATAGGAGTATGAAGGATTAGCAGCAATACCTTGAGCTGGGGTTACTGCGGTCGTAAGGTCTGCGGTGCTGGTATCTACTGGAGAGAGCTCTCTCAGACTCTTGTCTGAGTCTCTCTTCCTCCATTGCCTGCCTCTCTCTCCTGTGCCTCCTGCGAACTGTGGTGGGGCTCTCAGGGGCAGACCCAAGCACTTCTTGGATGGTGGAGAGCGGCGTGTGGGAGTGAGTTCTCGCTGCAGTGGGCAGGAGAATAAAAGTTAACTCTAGCATCACTATTATTCAGCCTTACCAAGGTCTATCATCTCCCTGAGAGAGAGGCGAGCTCTAAGAGCTGTTTTTGTCATACACACAGCAGCTTTTCTTTCTTCCATTTCTCTCTCCCTTTTCTCCTTTTCTGCTACTGTATCATATAGAGTGTAGTGATTGAGTGTAAAGTTTTTGACGTGCTGTGCTAGAGCGACCTGTATTAAGCACCAGTTGCCTGATTTGAGCTATCACACTGGTGAGTTCCTTGTAGGCGAGTTTCCAGTCGACCACTCCACCCTCCCTCTGCCCACACACACTCCTCACCGGAGTCACCAGATCACCCACACCCTCCCTCCTCCCCAGGTCACGGCAGTGCTCCTCCCACAGCCACGCTGAGTTTGAGATGTTATTCCATCTTTGGCACACCTATCATTGAATCATAATACATACTGACATAACTTTTTGTCCCGAGGCCAACTGACCTGAGCACATCGGCACAGCATCACAGGGTCCAGGTAAGAGAAGATCTTGAGAATTAGTGAATCTGACAGAGAGTCCAGTCCAATCTGCTCTTGAAGTCTGGAAGAAACATACACATGTATTATGTAGCTAGCTACGTACACTTTGACATTTACCGTTGATAGAGACATTGGACAAAGTAGGCCAGCAATTCATTGTTGCACAGTTTGACTAGTTCCAGCAACAGTTGAGACTTCAGCTTTTCAGGCCACACCGACATCCACTGTATGGAGAAAATATTGGGTGTAACTTTGTAGCTATCCTCCGCAAATTCTTACGTTTGTAGTATGTATTACCTCAGACACAGATGCAAGCTGAATCTTGAACTTTTCAGCCTCTTGCTGCTTCTGATGATGGCTTGTTCTTGATTTAGTGAGGCGGTGGTACGAGCCGAGAGACCGTGACCTCTTATGGTGTCGTGGTCTGAGCAGGTCTTTGCGTTTTACGTCTCGCAGGAGGTTAGTAGTGGACTGGAAATCTGGTACTGAGCTGAAACGGGTGTGACGCAGCCCCAACGTTTCCTCTAGACTCGAGTTTTGGGATATCTGAGCGTGTTGTGGGTGCGTGAGAGGAAGTGCGGGACGCAGAATCTCGTTCTTTTCTTCCCCAACTGTCAACCGACCCGTCTCGTCGCAAGTCACCGACCCACCGTCATATTTGCCGGTCTCTGAGCTGGCTAAGGTAGTCGGAAGGGAGGGCAGGTGAGCGCAGGTGCTGGTCTCCCGCTCCGGCCACTCAGGTTCGCAGAGAACTCTCCGCAGTACCCCTCGCTGTACCTGGAAGGTGGCGGAGCCGTCCACGTGGAGGGAGGCGAGGTGCGGGACGAGGGAACTGGAGAAGTCGATGTGTAGAACGGGCTCGAGAACGGTTGCCAGGACTCGGAGCTGGCCCCTGCTGCTCCCCTCCATGACCCGGCAGACAAAGACGCGGCGCTGCCAGTCCCGCCACGATTCGAACCACAGCGAGACCTTCTTGAGCGACTCCCGCGCCACGAGTTCCTGGAAGGTAGGTAGAATGGCAGTTCTGTTCCCACCTCTCTCTTCCGTACGGCTTCTAGGGTTTTTGGAAGGCTCTGAAATGCTGATGAAGCGCGACATTTTCAAAGATCTTGCTCAGCTCAGCCCTTCCCACTTTTTAATTTGCATGACGTATGGGCCTAGCAACGTTACCTGTTGACCTTTGCACTATTCCTCCTGGGGCGTGACCTTTTTGCGATCGGATGATCGACACATTTTGTCCATGTGAGATCGATCGAGGTTTGAGCATTCATCATTGAGAGACCTTACGGGAGCCATGGGCGCTCAATCCTCCAGTACCAGGACCGACTTCGAGTGGGTCTACACTCAGCAACCGCACGTCTCCAGAAGAAAAATGATTCTCAGTAAGTCACGTGTATAAACAGGCAGTCATTCTCTTTACTTTCTTTCACCCCGTCCGACAGAGAAGTACCCGGAGATCAAGAAGCTGATGGGACCGGACCCACACTTCAAGTACATTGTGTCGGCCTTGGTGATATTTCAGGTCGTGTCGGCCTACTTCATCTGCAAGCTTTCCTATCCCTGGGTGGTCGTCATCTCCTACTTCCTGGGTGGAGTCATCAACCACTCCCTAACGCTGGCCATCCACGAAGCCTCCCACAACGTTGTGTTTGGCAACTACTACCCCATGTACAATCGCCTGTTTGGGATTTGGGCGAACCTCCCCATTGGCGTACCCATGTCCGTCACCTTCAAGAAATACCACATCGAGCACCATCGCTACCTGGGCGTGGACTTGTACGACGTCGACATCTCCACCGACTGGGAAGGTCGTTTCTTCTGCAGCACACCTCGCAAATTCCTCTGGCTTTTCTTACAGCCGCTGTTCTACGCCTTGAGGCCGAGTTTAGTCCGGCCCAGACCCCCCACCAAACTGGAGATACTCAACTACGTGATCCAGTTTGTGTTTGATGTCCTCGTGTACTACTTCATCGGGCCCAAGGGTCTGGTGTATTTCATCGGAGGGACCCTCCTGTGTATGGGGCTCCACCCCATGTCGGGACACTTCGTCGCGGAGCACTACATGTTTGACAGAGGCCACGAGACGTACTCGTACTACGGACCGTTGAACTACCTCACGTTCAACGTCGGGTACCACATGGAGCACCACGACTTCCCCTACATCCCGGGGTCTCGGCTCCCCGAGGTCAAGAGGATAGCTGCCGAGTTCTACGACGGTCTCCCTCAGCACAATTCCTGGATCGGCGTACTCTGGCGATTCCTCTTTGATAACGACGTGGGGCCCTACTGTCGAACCAAGAGAAACTACGAGGACATTTACGGGGAGAGGAAGAGCGAAAACCCGTACTACGACGCTGATAATTCAATGAAACCCGTTCTAGTGGGTGACCCTATCGTTCCGGTCCCATCATCGGAAGAACGTACAACCACTAGAAATGGCCATGTAGAGCCGCCTTTAGGTGACCACAAGAAGGAACTGTAGACGTCATGTACAACTGGCAAGTATTATACATACTACCGTTTTTCCTGTCATGTTCATAAACATTGTACAGTGGACTAATTGTGTAAAACATTGTGATGATAGTACATACTGTATTACTATGACTGATGACTGACACAAATAGTATAACATCGCTCAAGTATTTGACTGCACATCACAGACACACACACATAATTTATAGTCAAGGCTGGAGGGAGGGGTCACTTGGGAGCAAAGGACACGCCACAAGAGCAGTTGGTCTCGGCGTGCGGGTTCCCGGTGATCATGAACCCTGACCTAATGAGCTCAGTGTGGTAGTCGACAATACACCCTCCCAGCAGTCCCAGGGAGAGCTCGTCAACGACTACACGAACACCTCCTCTCTCAAACACCCTGTATATACGACAAACAGCAGTGAGAGAGAGCTTCATATATAGAAATTGTGACGAAATCCAAACACTAAGGGTTGTAGCTTGTAGGTTCAAGCTGGGTGATAGATGCCTCTACAAAGAGAGCTATTTCTCACTTGTCATCGGAGCTGATCTTTGTGTCAAAGTCGATCTTGTACTGGAAGCCAGAGCAGCCTCCTCCGTCCACCATTACCCTCAGCACCAACCCCGGCTCCTCCTCCGTCACCTTCTGCAGTTGCTACGGTGAACGAGAAGACAAGTTGAACACCATGGGACCCAGTGTGTGTACCTTAACACAGCTATCACTGAGGTTTAGCTCCCCGGCTGAGTCTTCGTCTCCGCTGGCATGTTCCTGGAGTAGCACAGTGGTGTTACTGCCGCTGTTGATTCGTCTGATTGCTGAATGGCGCCGCCGACACCAACTTGGCTCGGTTCCCACGCTCTGGGTAATAGGTCTGATCCAGTTGGGGGTGCGTAAAGCGCTGGTTCGCAGCAGTAGTAGAGACAGAGGCTTCAAAACAGTCGACATGACAAAAGAAGAGGAGAAGATGTTTTGTCGTATGCAAGGGGTTAAATTTCCTAGTTTAGTTCCGTTCCGTATGGGAACAGAACCCGGTGCAAGCGGTGCACCACCTACGCAATCAAGAGCCGAGAAAAACATGCTCCGCTTTCTCCTGCTCTTCACCGCTGCTTTCTGCGTGTCCTCCAGCTCCAGAGCTAGCCCCGGCTCCAAATGCCTCCACGTTAATAACTCGACGCACCGCATCGTGGACACGGATGGCCGGGAGAGATATTTCCACGGCGTCAACGTCGTAGTAAAGGGACCTCCGTGGCTACCGGAGCTGCAAGAGTTCGATCCCCTCAAATCCTTCGTCGAGAAGGACATGCAGACTCTGCAAGAGCTGGGTCTCAATGCCATAAGGTCCATCTTGTCATGCAGTTACATGTATAGTAGCTAGCTAGCTATCTCCCTTGCAGATACGGCATGATGTGGCCTGGTGCAGAGCCGGAGAAAGGAGTGTTCAACGAAACCTACTTCACTCTCTCCGAAGACCTCATAAATACGTAAGTCTTCTCCCAGACTATGTAGTGTACCAAGGTAGGTATCTGGAGGGGTTGTGCAGTGCTGGGAGCTATGGGATCTACACACTGCTGGACATGCACCAAGATGTCCTCTCGGACAAGTTTTGTGGGGAGGGGATCCCAGACTGGGCTGTCGACACTGGAAGTGAGCTATGGGAAAAACGTGTGCCTGTCAAACCAACGTATGCATATCTCTTTTCAGATGCAAAGGGGTTTCCATACCCTGTTGATGAGCCTTACAAAGTGGATCCTACTACTGGCTACCCAACTCCTGAGGTAACATACATGTACATAGGTATATAGAGTAAAAATTGTATTTCCTCTCATGTGCATGATTTTTTTAATGAAGTTATGGTTGTGAACTGTTTGTGCACAGGACTGTGCCAAGCATGCATGGGCTGATTACCAGTTTGCAGAGGCATCGTCTGCAGCATATCAGAACCTCTACAACAACTCCAATGGTGATCTTATGTCTAGTAAAGTAATCTAGTGGGTTACCCCTGCTATTACAGGTCTCCTTACGAGCTGGGCAAACTTCTGGGGGAAGGTAGCGCAGGTGTTTGCCGATAATGAGTACATTCTTGGCTATGAGCTCATAAACGAACCTTGGGCAGGTATAACAAAAATCTCTTTAGTGTGAAATTAATAAGAATGATTATAGGGGACATATATGATCATCCTAAGCTCCTGATCCCTGGAGTGGCTGATGAAGATGTTCTTGCACCGGCCTATGAGGTGGTAAGTTGTCTGCTCGCAGTGGCTCGATGTGCCACTCTAGTCTTTTATTTCCTGCTAGCTGAATAAGGAGATTCGCAAGTACGATGAGTGTCACAGGTTAGTTTGAGCACAATAGCCAGCTTTGATAATAGTAAATCAGAGGAGAATGCGCTATTCAGCAGTCTATTATTGTCAGGATATCCACTGTATTATCCTGCAGTGTCTATTTCGAGAGTGTGACATGGGATGAGTTGACGGTTGGATTCAAACAGCCTCCAGGAGGATTCGCCTACGCCAACAGGAGCGTTCTCAGCTACCACTTCTATACCCCTCCACAGGTATTGCTGCATTTCCATTTTATGGCACGTTGGCGTTGCTAATTCTTTTTGTTGTGCAGATTTCGGCTGACATCACATTTGCCGAGAGACAGAAAGATCTTGAGAGACTCAAGTGTGCAGGTGACCCACCCGGCCCATGACCTGTGGCAGCATTCTGAAAGTCAATAACTGCATGTGCAGGTTTTCTGACAGAGTTTGAGATTGGTTTGCCAGACTATAAAACAATGGCTGATACCGACGAATACCTCCAGGTTTATATAATCGTACTCATGAAAAACAACACTTGTTTAAACAGGCTCGTTTTACTATTAATTATTACAGTCGTGGTTGGGGTGGGAATACAAACCGTTTGTTCCCAAGACTGTGAGTTAACTCTGTACTTGTGTTGTACTGTGTAGCAGACACGTTCATAATTACAGGGGTCGGGATCTTCCATTTGGTATGACAACGGAACAATGAACATGCAAGTAGTTGATGTAAGTTGATAATACTTTAGATAGCTATATATTATGATGTGTTGCCTTCATGGTTTGGGTTTCTTCTGCTCCCCACAGCGACTGAGTAGGACATACGCCCACTCTGTGGCAGGCGTGACCACACTCATGCTCTATAATGAGATCACCAAACGGTTCACCCTCACTTATTATGTCACCGCGGCATGTACTTCTAACACCACCGAGGTGAAAGTGTACTAATTTTGTTTGTGTTGAGGGTTGACCTTCACTAATAGATATACTTCAACAAGGCACTCCACTATTCACAAGGCTACACTGTAGCAGTTGCTCCATCAAATTCCGTCACGTGGAAGGAAGAGAACGACAACTACGTCATTGTCTCCCACAGCCGTTCACTGCCTGAAGGAGCACTAATAGACGTTTCCATCAGTTCTTCAACTTAAAAAACAATACATATACAGCAACATTGACGTGTGTATTGTTGTTAAACTGTCGCTGCCTGGAATGCCTGTGTTTAAAGTAATATTATCCAGGCAGTGTTTTTAAGAGTGTGTGCTAATGTATTATTCTCATGTAAGTGGGTAGGTGGAGCATCATACGTGGGCAATGGAGAGATCATCATCAGAGGTTACATCATCGTTCTGATGATTCAGCTGGTCTCCTGGAGTTTCACTGGTGCCTGGATCTTGATCGTCCCTCGCTTGTGAATCTTTACTCTCAGCGACTGTCTCTCTATTTGTTGCGTGTAGACCACCATTTTGCTGTAGAGGGCCGCTGCCATTCTCTGTAGGGTGATGGTGGCTGGTGTCGTTTGCATGATTTTCAGTATTGTCGACTTCATCAGTTTTGAATGTGATGGTAGTGGGCCTGTCATCGTCTATGTCAGTTGTAACGGTAAGTTCGTTGTCAGTGCTCTTGTTGCTCAATTCGACGTAGTTCACCACATATGTTCCACCGCCAGCCTCCGATGTGATGATCTTCTCCAGAACAGGTGCCGGAGTGGCACTGGTGGTGTCTGACACCAGCATGAAATGGTTGGGCCTTTTTTCGGCAGACGAAGTGGCAATAGACGACGGATGAAGGTGAGATGATTTGTAGTGGCCACAGGAGAGAAACTCGAGCCAGAGCTCGCGTCCGTCGCGACTGAGGACGCAGAAGAAGAGGAAGATAAAGAACCCCTGGAGCGAGTTGAACACAACAAATAAGACTTGGAAGGTGAGCGATGCTTTGTCGATGGTGAGAGCTCCAAATATCCAGGTGAGTCCGTAGAGAAACATGATTCCAGCGATATTGATCATGAGACGGATGGTGGATTGCCTCTCTTTAGTCTTGGAGGTCTTGAGGCCTGTGATTTTGTTCCTCTGCTTGTGGCGGACGAGTACGGTGATGATGATGATAAACACCGTGCAGTTG